GCAAAAGTAAAGAATTCTTTATTGCATATTTCAGTTTTATTGAAGGATACGAAGTAGCTGTATGATTACCAAATTTTGGTAATACCATGTCCAGTACTAGGTGTGGTTGTCTGCATGTATGAACGTATGTGGAAATTTGTAACTTTTCTAGGTAGATTAAGTTTAGATCCAAAATATGAGTATACTGCTAATAACATATCTTACGTGGGCAGAAGGAAGCTGTGGTTCAGCACCTATACCTGGGCAGAAACCCACCTATGTTTACAGAAATGAGGGTTCTTCGCCATTCTAATGATGATGACCACTTGGTATGTTAAAATAAATACTACCCTAGACATCTTGGAGCATGTTTTTTTCTGTGGCGGTCCTTCAGTTTATTCTTTTAACAACCTCAGGGAGAGTTTACTGTGTGATATTGGCAGGTATTAGAGTTGGGTATGAACTTTCTCACAGCAGATGATATGAGCGCAATAATTGCTGTGAAATTGAGAAAAAGACTAGGATTTGGAATGTGGGCAAAGTTGCATGTGACAGGCATGCACGTTGAAGGGAAGGTACAGATTTTTATGTTAATTGAATGGCATTCATTCCTCTCTAAAATAAATATTGGTCAGTTGATATTGGATTTTGTTACTTTTAACTGAAGAACTATGGAATTGTTCTGACTTTAAGTGATACGACTATCCTCTTGTAGGTTTTGATTGGGGTGAAGTTTCTTCGTCAGTGGCCTTTCCTTGGCCGTTTGAGGTTATGCTTTTCTGAGCCTCCATATTTTCAGATGACTGTAAAACCTATCTTCACTCACGGGCTTGATGTTACAGAGCTTCCAGGAATTGCTGGATGGCTAGTAAGTTTAATTCACTTTTTGTAGAATGAATTTATCTGTTTTGGTTCATAAATTTCTCTCTTCCTCTTTTAATCTTGTTTGTATTGTCTTCTCTTTGATTAGGACAAGCTTCTATCCGTCGCATTTGAGCAGACACTTGTTGAGGTTACTTTCCTTTTGCACTCATTAAGTTGTCATCTTTTTTTCTTTAATCTAAAAATCAACATTTTATTTTGGGATGCAGCTATAGGTCCCAAAACCAGAAACATTTCTATCTGGATTGAATTCAGATCTTATAATTTATCTTTTTGCAGCCCAATATGCTGGTTGTAGATATGGAGAAGTTTACCTCACCACAGCCAGGTAATTAATTTACCGCAGAAATCTTCTTATAGGGTTTGCGCTATTTTTGGGAGTGGTCATTAGTTGATAACATTTCTTTTGGTCCATTATTTTCTATTGGGACATGGAATTTGGTATGGTTCCTTCATTATTTGAAGTTTAATATGGATAATGCTTCTGTAGAGTGAGGTACTTGCATTGTGAGAAGGTTTAATAAAGGGATTGCTTATGTTTCTTCTAAAATAAAAAAATAATAAATAAATAAAGGGATTGTGTAGTGAGAGTGCATGACAAGATTCATGCATTCTGCAAAAGACCCGTTGGTTCACTCTCATCTCCTTTTTAGGGCAAGAAAGAACAACAACAGAAGTAAGGATCAAGAAAGGAGACCATAGAGAGCCATCAGGCTTCTAACTGTAGATAGGCATAATAATATACCAGTGCTAAAGTGAATTTAAAATAGTAATGCATAACTATGGTATTTGGGAAGGACAAGGGAACAAGAACATGGATGTAGCACTTGTCCTCAAAAATCATTAGGAGAGTAAGTGAGGTAAAGGAAATTAACAATTACAGCATGTTCATATTAACTTTTATGTTGGCTTTTGAAAAGGGTATATAAACAAAAGATTTAGAGGGAAATCTTGATAGGTGTCCAAATCTAGTGTCTTCTCAATAGAAGACGTAAAAATAGAGTACCTGTGACGTTGAATCACAGTTTGCTGTGTTAAAATTATTCGCAGTGACTTGCAATTGCCACATGATTCTCATCAACTTAGTTCCTGATTTAAGTCATCTTTCCGTATTTGAAGAAACATGTGGATATTGACAGTTTGTTTTAGGTTCTTTTTGCATTGGAACACATTTGACAATCTGTTGTAGAATTTGTTGCCAGTTGTTCAACTTTTTTAGTACTTCACTCCTCTATTTTCTCACCGATAAGCTAAACTTTACCTCTTTGTTAATTATATGCTTTTCAGATAATTGGTTCTCTGTTGATGTGAAGGAACCTGTTGCACATGCAATTATTGAAGTTGTTGAAGCATCTGACATGAAACCATCAGATTTAAATGGTTGGGCTTTAATATTTTATGAGTCATTTCCCATCACATAGTATTCAAATCGTCGTGATTTGTTAATGATTGGAATGAATTTTTCAGGTTTGGCTGATCCCTATGTGAAGGGGCAACTTGGACAGTACAGATTCAGGACTAAGACACAAAAGAAAACTTTGACTCCAAAATGGCAAGAGGAATTTAAGGTCCCCATATGTTCATGGGATTCACCTAATGTGCTATCTATTGAAGTTCGTGACAAAGACCATTTTGTGGATGATACCCTTGGGTAATTCTCTAAACTTCCTAGTTGTCATGCCTCCTTACAACAGTTGCATCCATTGTTGGAAAAAGTGCAATGCAGTTATATTTCCAGGTTTTTGTGTATTAATAAAACATACCATCTTAACAAAGTGAATAGCTAATATGAGTAATCCTCATGCTGTAAGTGCCAACCGCTTCTCATGTTTGCACCTCAGAATAACACTATTAATAGTTACTCATCTTCTTTTTCTGTTGGAGCAACTGCTCCTAGAGAACCCTTCTCCTAGATGGCAAAGCTCGGATTATACTCTAATACATGCATAGGAATGAAAGGAAGAGTTGTTGTCCCAATCGGAACAATTGATGCATACCCGGAAGTGTTCTTTGAGATTTTAGTTAGTCCCAAAACTTAGCGATGCAAATTTATTGTACTTTGGCATGCCTATACTCTTACGGTTTTGGTTTCAATCATTTAATAACTTTCAGGTTCCTGGTAACAGTTATCATTATCTTCTAGTTGATTCACCTTAGAAATGGATGTTGATATTGATTCTGTGATTTGATTCTTGTTTTATGTTTTGGCCGTTGATGTTATGCTCCTATCCTGGTTTTCCATGCTCCTATCCTGGTTTTCCATTTTGGCTGTCGATGTTATGCTGCTATCCTAGTTTTCTGTTTTGGCTTTGTTTTCACGCTTCTGATGTAGTCATTCACTCTAAACCACGGAAAATTAGAATTCAAATGTTTTAAATGATTGATTCTTCTGCTATCTGCTGCAGTGACTGTACCATAAATATCAGTGATCTTAGGGATGGTCAGAGACACGACATGTGGATACCTCTTAAGAACATTAAAATGGGCAGGCTGCATCTCGCAATAACAGTAACTGAAGAGAGTGCAAAGGTATTTTCCTATAAGGTTTGACTGAACTACTACTGAAAATAAGATGTTGCACTACCTTATGGTGGAATACTTACATGGATCGCTGAAATGTGCAGTAAGTTTGACATGAATTTCTGGCATAAATTTTAGCAGGGGGAGAATCCTGGGCAACATCCTTGGGATGAGGAAACATTAAACAAGGAAGGAGTTCAAGATGAAGAGGAGCTAAGAAGCAAGGAAGACATACAGAACTCCTTTGCCAATGAGACTCGTGGAGGTTCCTTTTCATCTGTAACGTCAGATAAGTCACCAAAGATGGCTGATAATTTTGAACCTATAAACATTGAGGGGCAAGAGGAGTGTGGGATATGGGTTCATCACCCAGGAAGTGAAGTAGCACAGACTTGGGAGCCTAGAAAAGGGAAGAGCAGGCGCATTGATACCCAGATCGAGAGAGTGCATAATGATTCCTCTCACAGCAACAATTCAGCAGCATTTGGATCCTTGAACAATGACAGCAGCAGTACTGATGAAATTTCTGAGGGTAAAAATCCTATAAATTCAGTTCGGCGGGGCTTACGAAAGATTGGTTCTATGTTTCAAAGGAGTCCTAAAAGGGGGGATTATTCAGGCAGCATTTCAGAGCCTGTTACATCTCCACATGCTAACCTTAAAGCAGCCAATTCTAGGGATGTTGGTGTGAAGTTCATTGTAGAAGACCTTCCAGGGCCCATTTCTGGTAGCGTTCTGAAAGAAGTATGTATTAATTCAGATGGAAGTAATCCAGAAAGCCCTGAAAAGACAAGTAATCAAGAAAGCCCTGAAAGGAAGCATATGAAAGTTACGGCAAAGAGCATTCTGAAACAGGCAGAGAAGCGAGCACGCAACATAAAGCATGTACTTTCCCGAAAAGGGTCTAGAAAATCTCCAGGTGATTCAACTACAGGGACTGAACGAGAAATTTATCCGGAATCTGACTCTTCTCATGATGATTCTTTTCAATCACCCTCCATAGTTGAAAAAATACCTGAGTGGGGAAACGATGATGAGTCTTGTAATACCAAGGAGCGTATTGTTCAGACTGGTTCAAGTGATCCTGAGATGGATGCTGAGGACCAAAGGGAGAAAATGAGTGTTGAGGCTGATGAGAAGAAATGGGATAACGAGATAAGCAAATTGGATGGGAGTGGTAATGAACTCATCGTGTCTGTAACTCCAAAGCTTTCTGAGGAGGATATGAAACACACAGAAAATAAAAAATCTCGCTCAGCTGAAAATATTATCTCATAGTTGTTAGTGTTGTCAAATGCCGAGTAAATAACAGGGTGAACATTAAAATTTTGCTCTATTCTGTTCATTTGTTGATTTTCTTACTCTGTATAGCATCCAAATAGGATGGTCGGTACTAGCTTTGGAAAGTCCTGCTGCAGCTTCAGGTGTAATGTGTTCTTGTGGGTATGCTTGTATTTCATGTCAGCATTTCTGTATAGCAGTTTACAGAATACAATTACAGGACGAATTTTGGACTAATTTTGCTTTATCTCTTTAGTTTCCGCGGACATTTTGCATAAAAGGGACATTGTGCATAAAAATATTAAATCAAACAACTGTTTATTGAATGAATGCGCGTGTAGCAGGATTTAAAGAAACAATTGTTTATGCGAGAATCGTTTTAGATCCTAAACAACAATATGGCTTGAACATATAGGTAGACTTTTGATATCACCACCATTGCCAGGGGTTACAAGAGACCAGGATAAAGATCCAAGGGCAACTGATCCCTCAAATTGATTTAGCAATAACGAGATTAAGAACTAGGAATACATATGCACATTACAGTATTGAAAGATCAATCAGCCAAAATAACCATGACCAGCTACGATATTATAAGTTTCTTCCTCTTGACTGAATCATTAACCTTCATTAGCGGATTCGTTTTCTGTGGTTTCCCTGATCCAACTAGAGGTTATCAAGGAACCATGCATAGTACTGGATAAGAAGCCGCCAAATACACCAGCTATGCCTAAAATGTGAAATGGGTAGTCAAGGCCAGAAGCTCTGCTTGAAATCTTTGTTTGATGAATAAACGGTTAAAGGATCACAATTATCAGTTTAAATGTGTGATGTCAGTTCCAGGCTAAAAGTGTCAACTTGAAGATAATAATACAGGCTGAAGCATCTTCAGCTTCCTCCATTCAGTCCAATCCAGTTGACGAGTTTCAAACCTGTTTCAGCATACCATTGATTTTCCACCAACATCATTTCCTGTCCACTTTCAAGGACCACAGAAAACAAGAACCATAAATATCTACTCAACTCAATCACCTAGCTATCAACAATTTCATCTAGACAAATATTAGCATTATTCCCTGACAACACACATCGAACAATCGCCCTCCACATCCCCATTCTCGGAACAAAACCTTGTTGCACCATCTGCTTCAAAACCAAATCCACATCCTCCACTAACTTCTCACTGCAAAGTCCATGAATCAGCTTCTTGTATGAAACAAAACTAGGACTCATATGCGCACAAATCATTCGACCCAAAATTTCTTTCGCCTCCATAAACCTCTCCTTATCAAGCAATCCATACAAAACCTCTTGATAAGAGCCTGCATTTGGATAACACCCCTTAACCTTCATTCTCTCCAAAAGCTTCATCCCCTCCTCAACCTTGCCTTGCTTCCTAAGCCCCGAAATCAATATGTTAAACGTGATCGTATCCGCATCAATTCCCTCTCTTTCCATCCTTTCAAGCAACCCAAATGCCTCCTCAAGCTTCCCCTTCTCACATAAACCATGCATCAAAGTCGAAAATGTCCTCACATTCGGCCTACAATTCTGCTTAGGAAATTCATCAAGCACATAAAACGCGGCCTCCAAATTCCCATTTTCACACAACCCTTTAACAAGAATATTAAGACAACATTCATCAATCTCAATACCAAGCCTATTTGCACTCAAATAAATCTCATGAATTTCATCAAACAGTTTGTTTGCAACAAGCAAATTCAGCACAAAATTAAAAGTTTTAACACTCGGCCAACACTTATAACCATTTGGCATGTCAAATAGGGTGTCAATAGCTTTCTTAATTCTCCCAGCTTGATTCCCATAAATCTTGACGACATTATAGAAAAACTCATCGGATAAACGACAGCTGCGTTCAACTTTGATTCTTTGCATAATGTGTTCAATGGCATCAAAGCTTTTGGCTTGAGCGAGGTGGTTGATGACGAGAGTGAAAAGAGCTTCATTGGGTTTATAGTCTTTTCTCTGAGAGTACTGGTTTAGGACTGAGATTATGGAGGTGGGTTCTTTGAGATTGGAGAAAATTTTCAAGACTTCGTTTGGTGATAACCAGTCTTTGTGGTTGAGTTTGTAGAGATTGTGAGAATCTTGATGTGGTGTTGAAGAGAAAGAAGAAAAAGAAGAAGGAAGAAGATGAAGAGTTGGTTTACGAAAGATTGATTGATGAAGTTTCTTAGAAGCAGCAAAAACTGAACGTGAAATCATAGTTTTGGTGGGTCAAAACACAAGAATGGCGAGAGGGAAAGTGCTTGAGTTGAAGCAACAAGGCAGTTCAAAATTAGGAAACAAACACGGTACCGTTTTGCTCATCTCAAGATTCTCAACTGTTGTGTACTACGGATTGATACAATACGGGTTCAACGGTTTTCAGAAGATTGAGATCTAACATTTTACATGTATTGTTTATGCTCATTTCCGTTTTTCATTTCTTTTCTACGAATTTTTTATTTTGTGAATTTTAGAGTTAAGAAAAGAGAAAAAATTCCAATAAAAAAAGAAATTTCAGTTTCAAATCAATGTTTGTGTCACAAAATTACAATCGAAAAAAAAGATTATTTGAGACATTTTCATTAGACGAACAAAATATGTTGTACTTTTAAAGTTTTTTATAAGTTTTGTAGATGATAATTTATTTCTTTGTATTTTATATAATTATGTTAAATGCATTTTCAACTTCAAAATTTTTAAAATACAAACACATTTTTTTGTTTTGGATGATCGGGAGTGTCCAGATCAGCTTACACGCACCTCAACTAATCCCACGGGACTCTGAAGTTGACAACCGAATAAATCCCTTCAGTGACCACCTATTAACAATTTAAGTAGATCAAACTCAAGACCTCTTGAATAATACACCCAAAAGTCTTAGTTGATTATTGGATCAGCTAGTGGTGGTTATACAAACAAGTTTTCATTCTTTAGATTTTTTAATACTCGTAAAAAGCAGAAAACGGATTTCATAAAATTCATAATTTTAAGTTGTTTTATCAAATTTAGACTTATTAAGGGTGAGTTTGTGGTTGCTATAAAGTATAAAGAAATAAAAAATTGACCAACATTAACAAGGCCTTTCATGTTTTGCTTTCCAGGATTACTGTCAAACCTAACATATAATGGCCAATTCAGGATGATAATTTGGAGATAAATGATTCTATACCCTCTAACAAACTTGTACTTGTATATACATTAACATATGAATTTCAGCTATACACTATACTTTTGACAGGCTTATTGTTTTTATGTGTTGATATACCTGACTAAAAAAATAGTATAAACAGGCTATAACTTGTGAGTAGCCAAAAATCATCTGTTCTTCTTTTTCCCGGCAAGAATTGGTTGAATGTGCAAGTGCCGGTTGAAGGCCTCGTTGAAAAGGAATCGAGTCTGGAAGGCTGATATAATTGGGAGCCAAGCAAGAATAGCTATAGGTGCAAAAAGAACAACCCCCATTCCGTAGTCATATGCTTTAGCAAGGACCTGCATAAACTCCCATAGTCTGACTTTCTCTACCGTTGGCCTCATGGCTTGTGCGACCTGACGAAAGCAACATGTCAGTCGAGAGAGAAAATGGATAGGGCAAGTTTTGTAACAAGAAAGAGTATTGATGCTTTAACTCTTACCAGTATTAGACCCCATCCGGTTGGCAAAAATGCCAGACAGCATACGATTATGTCCTTGAAAGATAGTTGGCAGATGACAGAAAGTAAAATTATAACGGTTAGAGAACCCAGGAAGAGAAATGCTTTGAAAAACCTGAACACAAGGTGGTACTTAGCGCTGAACACTTGTCTTCCAATGTTCACTGCCTGCAATTCATGTTGAGATATCACATTAATGTTGATGTTATAGCAAAGCGTTTATTTTAGTTTTTGCATCTTGATCAGGTTAAGTGAATGAGTTTTAATCTACGGTGGGAGAATTTACCTTGACTGATAAGAAAACTGCAAGAAGCACAACCCAGGAAAGCAGATATACCAAAAAATTTTTGCTCTTGTGGGAAATGTCAAGGTGATAGACCAAACCATATTGATACATGAAAAATCGAGTAGAAAGAAGTATCTCAAACAACCTAGCAGCCAAGCCTGAGCGCCGAAGGTGGTCTTGCTCATCATTCCACCAAGACTGCCAACTTTTGTCCTGTTGAATTCCTATACCTCCTTGCTGCTTGATCCACTTATTCCAGTCTTTCCAGTCATCTACTATCTTACTCCAACTGAATCCAGAAGGATTAAACAGAAATGGCGCAAACAGCCAAGTGATTGACATGAACCAAATGGAGTAAGTGATTAATACATATACCATGCTGCTCTGATAGGACCGCCTAAACAAATCGTATACAATCAACAGAAGCAATAGTTCAAATCCTTTAACAAAGTGGCTCCGTGAATATAATCTGTAGTTCTCGGTGAAGCTGGCATGAAACACCACAACCTTACGTCCAGTAGGCCTGTACTTAGCTCCACCATGCAGAATTGTTCGCCCATAATAATGGATTTTTGTTCCGAGAGAAAAAGTGAAGAAAACAGACGCAAGTTGTAATTGCATTAGGACAAAATCTTTAAGAGCTGTAAGAAATCCTCTCTCAAGCCCAATCTCCATCACCATTGGTAAGCCTGTTAGGAGCCCAAGCTGAATAAATGATTGGGAGGCAAGAGCTGTTTCCAGTGATTGAATGTTTCTCATTTTAGCCTCGAGCATGAGTGCATTTTGCAACCCACTAAGAACCAGGTATAGCTGCCCGTAGAGGAATACATAAATTGCAATTACTGAAATCTGTTGAAAGTATTGTCAATTATAAACTAATCAGCACATATATACGAGAAGAGTAAGAATTACCAAATACTGCATATCAGAAATGAAAGAAAAAGGCAACTTACATAGCATTACATTAAGTTACAAGAGAAATATAAGAGGCTTCTGATAAATTTGAACTGAGAGAATAACATGTAGTTTATCAATTTATTTTCCACCCTCAAGTGTCCACCTGGGTCTGTTTCCACCATATATTTATAGATGATTTTTTATTTAACATCTGTTTTGTGAATATGGATGATTTTCTTGGGTAGAGTTCTGTGTAACTTTGTTTTTAAAACAACTGGCAAACTGTGATAAATTTAACTAAAAGAAGGATCATTTCAGGGTTCAACGTAGTTACCAGGCTGCTGAAATAAAATCCAATGGTTGTGAAGTAACAAGAGAGCATCCGGAAAAAATCAAAGCTGCGCCCAAGGCGGTATATGTCGCGACTCAACGTTTGTTCACTGTTTCCATTAGCCACTTTGGCTTCAAACTTTGAGATTTGGTTTAGGCCCACATCACGACCTTTGCCCACTTGCAAGTACTCATGGTAGGTGATATTTCCCCGTCGTAAGGTAGAATTAAATCCTAAAATGGAAGAAGTTCATGTAAAAGTGAAATAACTTTGACCATATAATAGGATATAACATTTGGAGGTACTATATCCTACCAGCAAAGACATCCTCGCTCAGATTGATTGTTTTTGATGCTTTGCTTATTCCACCTCTTGTAATGTGGAATACCCTATCAAATACATCAGGATGTCCATAGTGGAATCTTACCCTGCAGATGAGATGAAAATAAAAATAAAAGTTAATGACTAGAGCATTAAGGACAAGAGGAAAATATGAGTAGAGTATTATGGTGAAAGACCTTAACAAAAGAAGGATTAGTGAAGAAAGATTATGCAATGGCAAAGCCACGCAAGCAATAGATATATCAACTAAAACGAGGTTAATCAGCCATGTTTGTTTGTCAATCATATTTGGAGTACTGTGCTTTCTCATTCACGAGGTAACAAGGCAAATATTCTACATACACAGACAAGGCAATATGTGTACACATATTTGTATTTAATTACTTCAAGCACAAGCTTGAAGTAATGAACACATGTTACCTGAGAGGATTGGCAAGAAGCCGCTGACCGATGGTGACAAAACTGGTCTCTTGATATGACATGAACCATGCTAGGGAAGAAATACTGCAGTTTAAGAGACAAAGTGAGATTTTCAGTCCACTAAGATCTATAATCACTAGTGTACGTTTATAGGTATATGAAGTATATAAACACAAATTACCATTTAATATGACTATTGAAAATGTTTTAATTACAAGTTATGTCAGAATCATTTCCTTTTATGAATGACAATCATATTGGCAACAGAGAGAACTTAGCACCATGTATGGGCTGTAGATGCTGCAACCAACATAAACCAAACCCTCCCAACCTTGGGCGTGAATGGATTTAGTCTCAGGACCTCTTAAATTCCTACAAGAGCCTATGACCTTTAACTTATAGGATAAGAGGATCTTAAAAGAATCTCTTTTCTACATAGCATTGGTTCCAACTATCTACACACAAGATGTGGTATTTATAACTTATGGGATAAGAGGATTGTACCTTCCTGTAAATATGTGTTCCCTCAAACCAAGTATTGAAGGCGGCCGTCGTCCATGGTTTCGAAGAAATTCTTGTAGGAGATTTCTCATTTTTAAAGCTTCTTCCAAATAATTATCCTGAAAAGCCAGAAACCATAAGCACCAAAGCTATTGGATTCATTAACTAGCAGCTATTGTGGCAAGAGTGTACTTGGTTCATATCAATTGTCTGTAGAGCTTCTCCACGAGTAAAAACTATGGCATGATTTTGATTTTCGGGCTTCCCTTCTCCGATATTTGGTGGACCAGGAAGCTTTATGCGATATATTTCCTACACAAGATAAACAATATACTTAACCAACAGTTACTAATGAAAAAGTATATTAATTAAAGAGTGAAGGCTATAGGAGAGCAAGAATCTGCATGACCCGAGTGGTAATCCTTACAATGTAGTTACTGCTATAATACAGGCTAATCCATTTCCAATAATCCAGGGTTCAAACTAATATTGTCAAATAAGCACTAATTAATGACACCAATGAATTTAAAGTCTTCTAAAATTTATCAATACATGTATTATCTGCAAAAGTTTCACTAAAAGATATATCAAATTATGTTACATCATTTATTGAATAACCAGAGAGCTAATTTTTTTATTATCACCCTTTTAGGAATTAAAGTTCTATAGTTTATCAAATCCTCTTTGAAAAGATCATTCTTAAAGGCAAACTTCTTTCTTCATGACATGTTTAAAAATCCCCAATTCAGTTGAGAAACTCCAATCTTCCTTCTGAACTAAAAGTTATTTTAAGAAAGGTTGATTATTAATTTATTCAATTAGCTAGACTTTGTGATTGTATCTCTTCATTTTGATCTCAAGAAGAACAATGGAAAAGAACAAAAAAATTATGGAAATTCTGTGGAATTGGGCTCATTTCCCAGGAATTTCATTCTTTCCTTTTCTTCATATTCAATTCTTATACCAGAAAAGAACAAAAAAAAAAAAAAAAGTTGGACAGAGGTATCAGAAGTGCATAAACCATAAATGTAATAACAGAAACGTGAACTTCAGAGGCGACAAAAAGGATTTCATTAACATGGTTTCCCATACGAGTAATACTAAATATCCTACTTATTCAAACTCAATTATTCTAACTAAGGTTATTCTAACTAAGGTTTCAGTTTAATTGTTACAATGTGCATATTGATTATTGTTACAATATCTCTCCATATAAATGTCAGTACAATTCAATTCAATGGTCACCTTAGTTTGAATAAAAGAGATAAATAACATGCCTCCTCCAATAACAGGGAATATAGTGAATCTATACCAATTATAAATAAGAAAGTAAAGAAAGCTATGAGAATATGAAAAAATGTAACTATAGTAAATTCTGTGTCTTTCGCTCTTAAATCTTAATTTTATCTTCTTGTTGTTCAGTTTCATATTTGATCATCAATCATTTGAGTGATTTTCTCTCTTGAAAGATATGTGTATTATTCAAACAAAACTTAGCATACACATCCAACAGAATAAATTATTTGTCTTCCTTCAGCCAGCAAAAATTTCAAGCACATTCCTCTTATTTTAAATGCTAAAAGAAATAACAAATACCTGATCAAGACCATTGACTGCCTTAACCAATATAGAAGAATAAACCTTTTGAGGCTTGTCTGCCTCAATCACTTCCTTCTCCTCAACATAAGCAACACGGAGAGACGGGTACCTTCAAGCAATAATGTTGTGGCTTATTTAGTTGACTTCTAAAATATGTTATACAAAATAAATTTTAAATTTGTGCAACATTTCTTTCTCTTTCTGGGAAATTAATTACCTGATCATCAAGTCAACTATGTCTTGTGCATGGGGATCTCCAGAAGATTTTTGTGTGCCAAACATTTGACAGGAAACAACATATGTGAATTTCATGTCTACTAATGCATCTATTTGAGCAGACATAAGACTATTTTTTTCAGCAGTTTCAAAGCCTTCAAGGATACCTGGTAGAATCATTCACGTAGCATAAAAGATTTTAGAGAAACAATCTCCTTAAAATATAATCTTCGGTGATGTACATAGATGCCATAGAATACACTCGTACCATAATAAGGAAATATCAATAAAAAAGGGGATCACCAAACAAAGGCTTCTAAGTACTATTCTCTACGTTCAAGATTACAAACCTTCATTTACAGCCATGTCAAGAGAAGCTTGTAATTTTAAAGCTTCTTTGTAGTACATCATTCCTCTAACTGTTAAAGCCAAAGAACAGGAGGTTAAGTTCTGATCATTAACTTTTTTGCTCTGTTTCGATCAAAAGCCGAATACATGATAACAACTGAATCTTTTTTTTGTTTTACCTGATCTGCTTAGTGTCTGCCCCCGAAAAGAAGCCCAATTTCTAAGCTCTTCCTCCTTCTCTTCATCTTTTACTGCATCCAGATTTTCACACCCCATCCGTTCCAGAAAATTTTTCCATTCATCTAAGAGAAAGATAGGAACAACATGATTGAAGTTTCATTCTAATGGAGAGACAAATATATTAGTGAAGATGTCCTACTGGATTACCAGGATAAATCTTTTTCATATAGAAGATGATAGAAACCTCTTCTTTGCTTGAATGTAGCTCTTTCATTGAAAAGTTAACGTCTTCCAAGTAGTGGGGAGTAAAAACACTGTACTAGGGAATGAAATAAATTAGGGAATTCATATGGTCTACGCTTTTGTCAAATAAAAAGATTTACATTTTTAAAGCATGCATCTTAAAACATTATCGTAAATGGAAATAAGATTCTGCAAGTTTGTAGGGCTTCTTTATTGATTTTTGTGTACGTATGTTGATAGTCATCATATCTATGATGCTTGTTTTAATGACTACCAATCAGAAACCATACTGGAAGAGATTATTATTGATAACAAGTTAAATCTTAACATATATATATTACTATTACTATTTGATAGGAACCCACTCCAATAACTCAACAATTTGGGCTGGGCCATAGGTCTTTCATGGGTTTGGGTAGAACTCTCCTTGAAAAACCGGCTTGCCAAGGGAGAGTGCCCAAACCTTTATAACCCACATGCCCACCCTTTTCCCTTTCAATGTGGGATCCTAACATTCCACCACGCTTCCGCAACCGATGTCCAAGTCGGCCTCTTTACCCCCGTCGGCCTCTTTACCCCTTGGGTGACTATGCGGATCCCTTTTTCCCTCAGGCCTCCATGCCCTTTCTCAGGGTAGCAGCCTGCCACGGGTCAGCCTGTCACAGGTCAACTACCACATAGGTGCAAGATTATGCTGTGATACGAATTGATAGGAACCCACTCCAATAACCAACAATTTGGGCTAGGTCATGGGTCTTTCATAGGTTTGGATAGAACTCTCCTTGGAAAACCGGCTTGCCAAGAGAGGGTGCCCAAGTGCAAGGGCAAAATGAGAAACTAATATATAATTTTTATGTTATATCAAGTTGAAGAATGAAACCCTAGCCACTCTTACCCATATGCACGCCACTTTCACCTCCATATTCTCTCAAATTCTTCAATTCTTCTTCAAAGGAAAATTCAAAGGTTTTGGGTGTTTTTTAGTGGATTTTCAATCTTAAGCTTCTATAGGTAAGATCCTTGCACTAAGAAGTGAATTTTAGTTTTTAAAGTGTTGATTTTAATGGTTTATGCTCATAGGATTTAAGAGGAAGAGAGTTTGATCAAAGGAGATTCTTAAAGGGTTGAATTTGCTCATATTAAAAGGTCAGTAAATCCTACCCTAAGTGTGATTTAAGTTATGTTGTGTAGAGAATTTTTCTTGTGCATATATATGTGTATATATGGAATTGTTGATGGGGCATGTAAGTTATAAAGGCTTGGCACCCTCCCTTGACAAGCGGTTTTCAAGGAGAGTTCTACCCAAGCCCATGAAAGACCCATGGCCCAGCCTAAATTGTTGAGTTATTGAGTGGGTTCCTATCAATATACACTGAACCCTGTATGCTTTAGCTGAAAATTTTAACAGCAGTAGAATGGCATATTATAGAATAAACACGGAGAGAAAAATAGACAAAGTTAATGCTGGAGTAACTTAATAATAATGCTGAAATAAATGTCATGCATATATCTGGCTTAAATTATTTGCCAAATTGATGAGTACAATATAACCTGAGAAGAACTGATGAACATATGGGATATAAAGTATATTCTATAAAACGTATACTAATAGGCTGCATTTTATTCTACTAAAGTTGTAGGTTGATGCTATTTGGTCCTCCTATAGTGTCCTTGGTATTAGCAGATGACTAGATGAATTCCAGTTCTTTTAAAGACATACATTATCCGTAAAATTTAACCAGCTCATATCCTTAAACATTCAGTTGATCTATCACATCAAATTTCTGAAGATAAAACAATTTAATTACAATAAAATTGCAAATAGAAGTAGTTGTGATCAAGAAATAGAATGGGGAAGGATCAATATATTCAACCTGAATGACAGCATATTGCGTACTTCAGGAGCACTGGGCATATCCATAAACAGGGAAGTAGCAAAGAATGAGATGCGCCTACGAGCCTCTAGGTTTGCAGGTATGTCCATTGCCTTGTCTTTAACAGTAAGCAACAAAAGAAAACGTTTAATCTGCCAGCCAAAGTTTGAAACAGTGGTTATTATAAGTCTCAGATATGTGTATGTGGATGTTTCTAATTATATATATAAATGAGTGTATGGACTTAAGGATCATGCGCATATGAATAGTGTATGAGTTTGCATGCCCATCTGTGTAGAAAAGGTAAGAAACTAAATCTGAGATGGGTTAACAAATCAAAGTAGGGTTGATTTTTCTCACTGAGGTATGGTGAACAAGTCACCTAAAATAAGGGCAACGAGAGAAAAGGAAAAAACACAAATGAAAGAAGAACAACACCTGTTCATTCAAAGGGCCAGAGTCTGGAAAAGGAAAATTGACAGAACTCTTGTCAGCAAATAACTCAGGTTCAATTTCTTCAAAACGAAAGCCAAAATCCAGCTTAACCTGCTGGGGTGCATTCAACCAAATCGAATACTCTGTGCACATTGAAAACAAAATTTAGTAAAGCGAACCCTGTAAATGATCTTAAAAAGGGAAAAGTGACTGAAAGCAGCAAACCTGAAACCATTTATCATCATATCATTTATTACAAGCTCAAAGATATCTTGCAGAAGCTTCACAACATTATCATGTTGATTTTCATTTCCCTCAACCTTAAACAATATCATAGAAAATCTGATTAGACTCAAGAATTTGTTAAGAAACAATAAAATCCAGTGAACATTTGAAATTCAGCTTTGCATTTCAACAATTACCAGAAGTTCAACCAATTCAATACATTTGGCTTGTAAAGCTATGAGCTCAGTAATTTTGAATTCTTCAAGAAGACTAGATCTTGCAATACTTCCTTCAATTTCATTTGTAATGTTGTTTATAACCCTAAAAAGCAAAGCAGGAACCACCACAGTGTCCACAATAGTGTTATTCGCTGGAAATAAGGAGAAAGCACAATTACAGTTTTAACTCATCAATTTCATGGCTGACTAAGAAGAGCCACATAAAACAACTGGGTGATACATAGCTAGTGAACCTTAAGAAGAAATCCTAAATATGTGCATAGAAGGTTAACTTTGATCAACAGATTATCTTATCTACCTTTTTTCCAGTTCACCAACAACAAGAATATCAAGAATGTACTTCAGTGATTCATAGCACTCGTTAACGGCACAGTACATATACTTGTCTTTTCTAATCTTCCTGAAAAGAATCTCATCCTTCCCAACAAAGTCTCTTGCAATGCTGACTGCTGTTGAAAACTGACAAGAGTAGGGACATCCTTTATAAATAAAAAGAATAAAATACAAAATTAAAAAAATTGAGTAAAGACTATACCTTATTTGCTAGGAGGAAAATGGGCCAACGAATTATTCCAGTAAATAACTCTGATGACATAGGTATTGTCATCAGATCCAACTCCCTGTTCATGCAAAAATATATTTTAGAAGCTAGTGATCTAAAGAATGCTACTGAGAAACACTTCAACAACATATTAGCTCTACCTATTGCTTATCAAGTCCTCTGACCGGAAAGTATTAACAACTCGGTTCCAAACTAGAACAAATTTGGCAACAGCATCTTTTTCACCCTCGGGTACCTGATAAAATTCAGTTGAGCCATCATTAAGATAAAATAGGCAATTCTTCGAACAATTTTGTAACAATATTGAAAAATTAGTTCCTCACACCTTAAAAAATCTCCTGAAAAAGCTTTTTCTTTTTCTCTTTTGGTCATTTTTGTGTGCAGGTGGGATAAGGCAAACATTGAATGCAGAAGGCAAGGTGTGAAATCTACTTCTCAGCATTCCCAATGTCCGAATCTGTAATCAACAAGAGTTAGTAGTGTGGGATCATGCTAGTTAGGGAAGAAAAATACTTCTTACCTCTCCAAGATGATGCAAAATTCCATAAAGTCCACCAAAGATTGTACAGAAAACAGAATACCAAATCTGTGCTTCCATGAAATACACCTGAGTACCAAAGATAATAAATTAATAATAGGAATCATCAATCTGGTTACAGAAGGTAACACACATCCAGGAAGTTTTCCATGCACTGCAAAAAGGGCATGTAATTCATCTTTACTATTTCATTAGATAATATATCTGTTAGAAAAATCATATACATTTTCAGACGCTACCTTGCATAAAAATCCTATAATTGCATTTATGTACCAAAAAGAAAACATCTGTCAACTGATAATGAGCTTCAATGCAACTAAATATATACAAGGTAAAACATTAAAAGGAAATGTTCCGGATATTGAGGCAGAAACTCACAACTATGATGGGGGCCCATACAGCCACAATTGCACCAGCATTACTTTTGACTACAAGAGAAGAACATATCTTCATTAGGTATATTAACATCAATAAAACTCAGCTTCCAGGCTTGAAAAAACAGAATTAGAGAGATGGAATTTACCTTTTGGGAATAGCTCATGCCAATCATAATTCTGCACACCAATACTCATTATCATTCTTGTAGGTGCAATGAGTGGTTTTATCTGTATTTTTTATTTGGAAATTATGATTAGTAAGTTCTGTTGCAGGCACAAATTTTGAAAGATAATCAAAGTCAGAAAGATAGAATATTACTGCTCAAACTTATTGAAACCAACTAACAACAAGTAGTTCTATCTATCACATGATTATTAGACTGATAATAATATTTATGGCTCCCTAAATTTCTTCCAACAATTTTTTCTTTTTTCTTTTCTCCAATCTTCCATCTTTATCTTCTTAGGACAAACTCAGGAATCTGAAGAAATATTTATGTTGGTAAGGTATTACCTTAAATTTTGAAACAGAGTAATACTAAATCAATAGCAAGTATAGAAAATTTGGCTTCCTAACAACCAAGACTAGCATACTCTGCTATCAAATTAGAAAAGACTAATGACTGATAGGAGAAGAGCTAAATTTACTCAACTATATAATCATATGTTTGTTACATCTTATGATAAAATGCAACTCTAAGGAAACATGTGACCTAATTTAATCTGCTGTGGATGCTTATAAAAATAATCAAACTTTTCTCTTAAAAGGATCAAAAAGCTACAAATATGAAGTGGACCAGAGGTCCATATGAAGCAAAAAGCCATCAGGGGTAAACAAAATCTACAAAAAAAAAAAGAAAAAAAGTGTCCATAGCACCCAAAACTTATGCCATAAGCCACAGAAAAAGACCACTCCACAACACAAGAGATAAACCAGGAAAACAATTCATATTTTAAAATCTCTTTGTAGTTAGATGAAATAAATAAATATAATGAAAGACAAAATCTTCTGTGTCATCATGTTCGATAGGTTTTAACCAGCTTTCCTCCCAAGTCAACACAACACAGATAGAACTCAGTTCAACTTCCTATTACATGCTGCATAATTTAGAATTAAAAATGGTCTAGATGGTGCCAAACACAATTTATTTTATAGAACTTAATTTTTATGATGCCTCACAACACAGATCTAGCCTCTTTCAGATGGTTGAAAGATCTTAATATATTCTGAATTCATTGTTTGTTCCCAAAATACCTTGTCATCAACATCATGTTGTTGGAAGCATTTAGAGTAGTACTCACCTCAAAACTGTAGCTGAATGCAAATTTGCTAAGCAAAACCAATATCCAGAATAGCAGATACCTGCATAGTAAGAGAAAGGAAATACATTAGGAAACATTTGATACAAAGGCAATAAACCAAAAAATCATCACAGTTGGGAAAAGAGAATACTTGAACTGCGAAACTTGAGTTTCTTGCATTCCACGTCCAACAAATAATCTAGGCTAAATCCAGAGAACCAATTATTAGAGAGATTCACAAAATTTAAAACCAATGCACATTACTACAAAATTCTAAAACAGTACGATTATTTGAAAAAAAGAAAAAGAAAAAAAGGTCTACTCAAAATATAAAGCTACATAGAGGGTATTAACTATGGGAAATGAAAAAAAATAAAAATTAAGCAATAGGTCATAAGCTTTAGGAATATCAAATCAGTACATTTTGACCTTCCATGCGATAATATTCATTAAATGTGTGCTTAATAATAGTACATTCTTGTTTGTAGTTTGACACATGTTGCACTTTCTCTACATTAGTTATAATTTTAGCAAGTTTCCATGCAACAATTTTAACAATACCTTCAACAACTTTGAAATCAAGGTTCACATAAATGATTAAAAAAAAAAATAAGTTGGCGTTTTTTTTATCATTGTTTCTTGTTCAATTCTTGGCAAAAAAAAAAAAAAAAAGCAAGCATTACTATTGTAAATCATGACAACATATTAACATCCAATGAAGGTCTAAATTCCCTATAGAAATCAATTTCATGAAATGTTGACACAAGAGGAAACAGAAAAGGGATGTTAACCTCTAATGAATTCTACCTGTGTCCACCAAGACAGCATTGTGCATATCCGGAAATTTGAGACCTCAATGTATTTGCCAACAGCAGGAACAAAAAATAACACCAAGTCAACTGCATTAGTCATCAAGTATATTGTGACTGCAACCATATAGGAAGAGAAACACAATTCTCCAAGCCAGCTCTTGTACTGTGTGGAATAACAAGTATATTTTCTTCTAGAATGGGCATACAACACAGGAAGAACAATTGTCCATATGACTGCGAGAACCAGCTTCAACACATGTTTCTTTTTTTGAGAGGAATCCATCATTTTTCTGGCTTTCCACGTGAAGGCAATGTCAAAAATTGCTGAAAGCCCAAACCAAAGAATTAGATTACCATAATTGTGTATATGTTCATGTTCTTCAACGTGCATGCATATATATGCTTCCCAAATTTTAAATTTATGTCTATACATATTTTTCAAGTATGTATATGTTTCTGTCTCAGTGAGCATGTGTAGGTGTACATAAGCATGTTCATGTTATGCTGCCAAGACATGAGCATGAGGAAATAGCAAGAGTTGAAATACGGCAATTGGTTTCCATGTCCATGTATTATTGTCAGAAAGAGTACTAGTATTTTCCTTAAAATGATATCAGTTATAGGCAAAATAATTGCATATGCCCTCACCTTGTATCAGTTTGAGAAAAGCAGATGTAATGAAGATGCTCATAATGTCCTCAAATGTTTCTGCATCAAACATTTGAAGTGGAGACTCTAAATCGTGGCAAGCCATAATAATCATTGCCTGAAAAGAAAACAAAATTTATTGATCAAAGCCAAAACTGTGACAAGATTAATAAAGTTGGTACACCACTTTATAAATTCAAAACAGACCTGAAGGGATAGAATAAAAAAGCTCCACATTCTATCAAAGCTCCTAAAAATCTGCCAAAAAGAACGAATCTCCACAAAATTTGTCTTCCCTAACCATTTTGTCTCACGATTGTCTTCTGTAGCAGTCTGTGGGAGAAGAAAAATATGTGAGAGAAATAGATAACATGAGCTATTAATATAGAGCAGATGAGTTGCGTTTGTATTGATGCTGGTATGCATTAAAATATAATAATTCTTACTAATTATCTGAAGGCCTCACTACTTACTTCAGGTGAGATATGTTAGGAAAAAAAAAACAATAGAAAAACACTTACAAAATAAATCTCCACCTACCAATGTAGCATGTCAACAGGAAATTTTAAATGGATTTTCATTTTTTATTATCCACACTCAGTCCACCTCTGCCCAAGCACACAAAAATTAAATATAATCCTCCCACAAGTTGGTATAAGGGAGGCTGAAATGTCCTATATTTAATCAAATTGTGATAGTTGCACCTTGCAAAACCATTTCTTTATAAATCTTATCTCTGATGTCACTCAGCAAAAAGAGATTTCCAAGAGAAATAATATCTTAAGACTTCTTTGTCATTTTCACAAAATGTACCAAACATCCTCTCATAATCATAATAGTGGACTCTAGTATAAGGGCAAACCGAAACAGTGGGTGCAATAGATATTTGAATAGATAATATATTTTTTCAGTGTACAGGTTCAACTATGATATGCTTATTAATTGTTGATCAATAAGATATTCTATGTCTTCAACAAGCTAGAAACAGCAGAGGGTTTGGAGAAAAAAGGAATGGAGGTATAGATTAATATAATGCTCAGCTAGATGTTTCATGTCTATTTAATTAATAAATCAGTTTTTGAGAATATGTGCTTATGTGAATTCAGCCATTTATTTACCCCTTGTTCTTCATCTTCCATTTCTTCTCCTTTACATTTTTCTTTTTCCGCATCAAGCAATCCTCGGGCTTTCTTAAATTTACAATTAACTACTGGACGTACACAAAAGAAATCATGGTCCAGACGCAATGGCCAACCTATCTCGAAGCAATCTGGAGACCTAAAAATACAGAAAAAATGATTATCCATGGTCGTGACTTCTTGAGAACCTGAAATAAAAACATGGAAAGTAGGCATAGGAAATAATAACTTAGCATTTGATTCTAACCAGAAATACTCATTCAGATCATCGTAGTTTCTCCATGTCGAATGGTCAGCTGTCCCACTTTTGTTTTTTGCAGCTTCCTTCAGTTTTTGATAAGAAAAATGAGCCTCTTAATAGAAATATTTACAAAGATAGGATTAGATTGAAGATGTACCTCATATATAACCCCGTATATTGGGGTAACCACATTGTTAAGGAAGGACTCAGATCCCCCTCCATAAGCTGGCATGATCTTCTCCCCAGTTTTCGTACTAACAGCATCAGTTAATACCCCATGCAATTCATATGCCATCTGAAATCAAACCAGACATATAAGGATAATGATGATATTTATAAAGACAAAACAATGAATCTGTATTGTTCTATATAAATTTCATATTTACAACCTCAACTATATAATTGTGATCTGCATATTAGTGCATCAAGATTATAGTGTTATTATTTCTGAGCAATCCTATCCATCATTGTTATTGCTTTAGCATGTCATGCTTTATATTACTGGCAAATCTTGTCTCAAACAACCATAAGGTCGAACCTCAGATGTCAGTTTCTCAGCCATCAACCAAGCAAGTTGACCATGTCAATGATGTAAGAAATTATTTTTTGTTAATTTCCTTTCTCCCATTAAAATACTATAATGATATTCTTTTTTAATGCCATTCACTTCATAAGAATATCTTTTAAGAAAAAAATCTTTCTAAATTTTTCAAACACTATAATGTCTATATCCCATTTTGATGGATGAAATACTAAAAGTTGAAACCTTGAATTTAAGTCAATTATTCAAGTCCCTAATCACTCATTGAGTCACACATATCCATCTAGTCAAGAAGGAGTTAAGTTTTAGGATAGACTAGGATAGTTTATGCTTTTTAAGTTCCAGAATGAAAGGGGAAAAAATGGTGAGAAAAACCAATAACTATTCAAATATGCAGTACCAACTCAAATTCAGTCGTGAGAGATTTTTAAGCTTACATGGTGAAAAATATAACAAAGGCACTCCGGCATAAACCGCAAGTTTGCAGCCTCCCCCCATATAAGAAGGTAAAGGCCTATATACAAAATTTTATATTGTTGAGCATCCTGTTTCACACAAGGCAACCTTCAAAGACAAATAATTAGTTTATCACAAGAAAAAGAACAAGAGAATCAGTATCTTTCACAACCTTCTGACAAGAAAACCTACCAACCCAAACAAAATAAATACATATACATTATTTGTGGATGAATGATTACTGCAGATATAAATTGAGAAACAAGACAATATTTGTTAACCTAAAATGGAAAGAATCTTTCTTTGATGCAAAAGGAAGAGCAGATTTATCATTCTCTCACCTGATGCTGTTTTTTCTCCTAAAAAATTTGCACCAGTTTGTGTAATTTTTAAAGAACTTTTTCATCAATTCATCCACAGCTTTATCTGCTAACTGAATCATAAAAACAAAAATTTCAGATTAATTGATAACCATAAGCTTAAAGAGGTATACTATCAAACAACTAAAGCACCATCTTGTTAGAAGACTGTTTTTGAGAATGCCGAACGTGGAGGTTCGCAAGGAGTAGAATTAAATGCTCCCTCTGATTGGCCACATTTCCTTCCTGATTGAGAACACATAATATCGAAGTCAGGAGAACCCTTGATGTCTCATATTAAGATCCCAGAGACACTACCAACTGGAGTTTCATACAAGTTTACAGAAAATTATATAGTACATAATGAAAGATATTACAATTTAGTATAATCACCTGAAAACCAAAGCGATACTGAAGAAATTCAAACAAATCCACGAAATCACCAGATTTCTGAAAATATTGGGCTGAAGGCAAACCACGAGTATTTCGAACAGCAGCAATTACAGCTTTAATCTGTACAAAGTAAGTACCTAGTCACCAAACCTAATATCATGTTTTTGCTAAACATCAGGCATACTGCAGCAGAATAAACCTAAGCCACAGGTAAATTGTAGCACACAAATGAAGCTTAACATAAAAGAATTCAAATCCAGAGCAGGTAACAGTTAATCCAACTTCAGCTCTTACCAGGCTTAAAAACTAAAAATCTGTCTTTCATTTTTCCAGAAATAAGAATTTGGTATCGAAGTCTTACATATCTTGTGCTAGAAACCTGTCTATAAGGAAAAATTTTAAAGAACATGGACCAGACCTCAGTGAATTGCAGAATCACATGCTGAATACCTCCATGATCGAGTGGAAGAATGTTATATGGCACATAGAACTGTGAATTTCTTTGGATATTGTCTCTATCGGCTAGGGCCTAATAAAGAAGAAATAGAGATAAAATAAGAACTGCAATGTGGTAATCAAGGTTATAAAATTCTATTATCACCAAATAAAAGAGTAAAAATCAAATGATTGAGGAATAGAAGGAACCTGATGACCAGCTGCATTTGCCACAGTCCTCAATACTTCATAAAGTACAGAAGCAATTCTACGCGCATTTATCAATTTCTCTCTGTGAATGATATAAATGTAACTCCACAAATTAAATTGGAATAGCAAAGGAAAATGGGTATGATAAAATGTACCAGAACTTAAGCATATTGGAATGCCCAATATAATAAGTTCGATTACCTGTCTTTTAAATCAAGTGCTCCACCATTTTTTAAAATATAGTCTTTGTATATATGATAAACACGTTTCAGTTCACGAATGTCACTCTTTGTCTTCCGTCTATTTATGGTTGTTTCTTCATCCTATAAATCATCAAACCAAAAAAAATGGCATGAAATCTCAAATTGGATTTAAAAAAAAAAAAAAAAAACAAAAAAAAACAGCAACTTTCTTCAGTGAAAAGGAAGAATAGATGTATTCTATCAATAATTAAATGATCCCCAGAGCAAGAAGCTCTTGCTGTAAAGACAAAACTAAAAGGCACAAGACAACTGACTTAGTGATACATGAATAAAAATGACACTTGAAAAAGAACCTAAATTGGGAATTTTAACAAACACTATATTGCAGTTCAACATAACAAAATAATATAAGATATGACAAGCAGAGAACATGCAGAAATACATATGGGTTATTACCTGTTCAAGCCGTTGAAGAAGAGAAGTTTTGAATTGCCGGACGCCCCTTCCAGTTGAATTTCTGTCCATGTTATGTGCTATTTCAAAAGCATGAAACCGGCCTGTTCAAGAACCAACATAACAATGTGAAAAAACAGTATGCAAAATTGTTTTCAAACTTTAATTTCACAAATGATTAGAGATTCAATCAGGCGGTTGGGACTCTTTCTTTAACATGACACCACAGCACATAGTATATCGAATAAAATCCCCATTTTGTCTCAACTTTTATGAGCTATAAAATTTACTTTCTTGCTAAATTAACTTGATAGGCGCAAGTAAAATAATTTTCTTCTTCCCTGATTGCCGAGAAAAGGCGGAAAAGAAAAATTATAATTAAGCTACAAATCACTCACAAAACTAAGTAAATTAACGTGTGCTAAATCTTTTCAAAAGACAAAAACTCCTTAAGACATACAGAAGGAAGTCATTAAATAAAATCCCATTTTGTCTCAATATTTTTAGACGCAAAAGTAAACAAATTTTCTTCATCTCTAATTGCAATAAGTAAATAACTTAAAGATGAAAAAAGCCATTAAATAAATTCAATTCAAAATTTTGAATGAAAATCAATGCACCAAAGGAACAAAAATTTTAAAAGAAAGAAAGAAACTTACAAAGATAAGCAATACGAGGCTCTTCAGTTTCAATCAAATTGGCAACACGAAGGAACCGCTGGATTTCTGAAGCAAGTGTGGGAGGCAATCTCTCACTATCAAACGGTTCAGGAACATGTTCACGACCAGAAGTAAGTGATCTTGTAAGAGAAGAAGCCGTTGCGGAGCTTTCTCCACCATGCTGCATATAAACTCGATTGTGATTGTAACTGTCATCATCATCAATGGGATCGGCGGGAACAATCTCATGAGACATTGCAGAGAAGAACTGAAAACAGCACTTCTCATAAATGTTACAGGGAATGAGAGAGGGAGAAACAGAAAGAAAAGTGAAGAAACAGAGTATATAAATGGGTTGGTGGTGGAGCTGGAGGTGGTGGTGGTGTTGAACATTTTAGGTTGCTTAATGAGGTGTGCATTGGAGTGAGAATGCTGCTTTTTGGTGGGTAAGGAACGGAAAGACAAAGCGTTCGTCATCTTTTAAGCTTTTACTTTTATGGATAATTTTTTTTTGAAGTTGTGTTGTTTAAGTGCTTCTGCTTTCTGCTGTCTGTGACTGAGTGTGAGAGAAGGAAGTGAAAGAATGTCAGAGTGAGTTTTGTTTTGAAACAAGGCGATTTTTAACACCCCTGAAGTTTAGTGGTAGTACATGGAGATCAACAAGTATCGGAATGGAAAGTTTATAATACATTTGAGCATATTCATAAATTATAAGGGTGTAAATGTTTTATTCTGAAACCTATGGACCTCTTTGTTTTTTCAGTAAACCTCAGGGGTATCCAAAACCTCTTTGAAAGAGTAAAGGCGGTTTATTTATTGGCGGAAAAAAAGTGCTTTTGAAATTGTGAATGGAAGAAGAGAAAAAGTGATTAATAAAAAAGCAAAGAAAGAAAGATATTTAATTGGGTTGATTAAATACTGTGCTTTTTCACTGAATCTTTTGTCACATGAATGAATAATGGAACCTTAATTGGAACCTCCAAATTTTTTTTTTTTTTTTGGGGGTTTCTATTTATATCCTTTTTGTTTCCATTTTCATTTTTTACTTTCTTGCTTTTCTATCTTGGGTATTAAAGAGAAAAAAAAAAAAATTTATGTTACTTTTACAAATTATATTCACTCTTAAGTCAAATCAAATAAAGAAACGAATGCGTAATGACATGATATAAAATGAAAGAATAAAAAATTAAAAGTACCCTTTAAGAGAAAAAAATTAAAAACATAAAATATAAACTACATCTATTAAAGGGTTTTCATAATTTTTGCAAGGGATGTATGATATTTTTAAGGGGGTTTTTATCTTTATTAAAGGGTTTCATACTTTGTAAAAAAAAAGGAGATGAATTTAATACTAAATAAGTGAAAATAAAATAAACCTATATAGAAAACATTATAATCCCAGTTATTTAGTAAAAGAATACAATCTCGGATAGTTAATTATCACACATATAAATAAAAAAATTGATGAAAATGAAACTGTAAATGAATTTTTGTTATTTGTGATAGTAAATTTACTTAAAAGAAAAAAGAGAAATTAAGACAAAACAAAGAATAAGCTCCAGAGTTAATGAAAGTAAGGCAAAGAGGGGAAGTAAAGCAAATAAGAGCAGCCAGCAATTATAGAGGTCAAAAGCACATTTAAATTAAGAATAAAAAAGGTTTAGGCAATCAACTTTTCCTTTACAATAAAGAATTGAAAAGCACGTTCATGGCATGGCAATGATCAAATTGATGTTTTCTTTTTAAGTGGGTTGGCTTTTACCTCAAAAGCATACTTTGATGTATTTAAGACTTGGTTGCTGAAATTGACAAGTTCTTGCTGCTCCTGGAAAGTGGCGAACTATAGCCGTATTTGGGTAATTTCTTCATCACTAAGAATGCACATACCTTAATAATAAAATATACTCTGCTCAATAATGCAGATACCTAAACTCCTACTCTACTAGGAACGAGATTTTTGACAAATTTAATGAATTTTTGAACTGCAAACCGTATCACTTTGTCTGCATTTAAGACAATGCAAGAAAAAGGTTAATTAAAATATTTGGCAATTAATATACATCCTTTATATATAACCAAAATTATTACTATTAACAATACCCACATTTTTTTTTTTTTTTTTTTTTTTTGGTTTAAAGTTAGGCCTCCTTTGGATTGAGGGATTTGATAAATTTCATTGTTTGGTTTAAATATAAAATCCATAGATTTTTATTCAAATTTCCACGCACTCATATATTGGTTAGTTGAATATAATCCATAGATTTGATAAGTAATTTTCAATTTTACCCTCAATATCCAAAACCAACAAAAGTTCAACTTTCATCTAATTATATACAAGTCAAATGATATTTGATAAAAAAGTCCAATTATAATAAATGATTTTTTTTGTGATTTGGTAAATAAAACAAGAAGAATTCAAAGTTAATATAATATATTATCAACTATCTTCGTTTATGATAACTTCAATAGTTGAATAATTTTATATTAAAACATATAACATAATCATACCTATATAAAAAATTAGTATCAATATAATGCACTAATACTATGTCCAAAAACATATGAAACTTGGTGGAACATTAGTAAGTTTCATGATAGCATATTAGTGTCACAAAACACTAAACATTACAAAATAATCAGTAACCAAAAAGCATAATCAGTTGCTAGTCATGCATTTGGAATCAAAAGAGCCGAAACATATGTTTTCTTTGCTTCATCATCTAAGCTGAAGAAGAGATCAGTTTCAAATGGGTATTTGAGTACTATCTTTCTTACTTCAGCTAATAAATTCTTATCCAAATAACAAAAAGAATCACCATGAAAAATTGAAATAATTAAAAAGCTTTTTGCAAATAAGAAATAGAAAATAATTAATTAAAGGAATAGAAACTCACAAGTAGATTATTTCTCTAATATGCTCTGAAGATGTTGATGATGTAAAGATGAAGAGCTCAAAAAGAGAAAACGACAAATATATTTCTTTTAATTAGCGTAAAGGGTAATTTTTAAGATTTTAAATTATTAACAATGATAGTATTGGAAAATTAAAATATTAATAAAAACCCTCATTTTATTAAAACAGATGGATTTCGCAAAATCTCACTTCCCAGGTGGGATTTTAAAACCCTAAAAAATGAAGGATTTTGGAGGGTGATGGATTTTAACTTAAAAAAAAAAAAACACCAAAGGAAGAATTTTACCAAATCTATGAATTTAACAAAGTCATTCATTTAAGATCCCTCGATCCAAATGAGGCCTTAAGAGATTTCATATCAAAACATTACAGTATTATTTCCTCTTTATATATATCTTTTGATGAAACTTTATTAAAAAAAAAAAAAAAAAAAAAAACTTTTCGCTAAGTAATAGCAGTCAAGCATCCGGAATTAATATAAATCTTAGTATGTGATAATTTTTATTTACTGTTTACTGAAAAGCGATTAGATTCTTGTGAAGTAAAGTGTATAGTACTCTTTGAATTTATTGTGTGATTCAAGGGTCTTGAATCAGCTTTAAGAGAAAATAGAATGCAATATTCTTAGAAAATAAATAAATTATCTGTGGGATATACATATCAATATTGAAATAGTAATCATAATTAATTAATTAATAGAATAAAGGAGATAATGATCCTTTTAATTAGTTTATTTTTTAATAGCACGTGAAAGGTTTTCCAAGCTGCATGGCTTAAGAGATAGAAGCAAAAATGATAAATTATGAAGGCTTTTACAAAGTTGGATATAATATGAAGAAAAACTTATAAAATGGATAGTGGACTCTGGACAACTGGATCATTCTGTAAAGATAGAACGAACAAAAAGCAAAAATTAAAAGCCCCGTTTTCATTCGCTCTCTTTCAAAACACTCGAAAAATAAAAAATAAAAAAAATTATGTGGTTTCTATAGTTATTTTTCTATTATTTGTTTTATAATTTAGAAATCCTCGACTTCGAATTACAATCCCAAATATACCTTCGTCTGATCATATTTCATGTTTTAAAGAGGGATCTTACGCGTGTGTGTGTGTGTAATAGATGCCAACATTAATACAAATTTTACAAGTTTTTCAATAGGGTTTATAGTTGGTATCCTAATGTACAATAAACCTCATGAAGTATATCTGCAATTAGGTTGATATTTTTCTTAATATCAAAAATTATAAATGATAAGTGAATATTACATGTCTATGAAACTTTGCATGTTTGTTTATAATTCATGTATAGTATATATATAATGCTTGATTTTGACACCAACTAATCGTACGTGAGAAATGTTGAACTGATTCAAAAGACACACGCGTATATGGGGATATTAGGTTTAATATAAGATGAAGAACAATGTTTAAATTGGTTTGGATGCTTAAATAAGCAAATCCTATATCCACTGGTATTGTATTAATATATGAGATCAGATCGCGTTTAGCGAACTGATTTATATCTTAAAGAATACAAGTGAATATATGTTATTTCAGAGAAAAATGAGCTAATCTCACAAATGGGAGAGGAGCCCTCTATTTATAGTGGGATGAATTGAGGTAATGATTACTAAATTTGCAAGTGGGTCAGGCTGTCGTGCGAATCCTTCTTTGTGTCTCGTTGGTCACCTGCTCGAGTGACAGGGATTAGACACGTGGAACGTTTCCAACCTTTCGTCAGCCTGGTGCATACCCACTATACTGGCAGGAGCAGACCGCTCACGTCAGCATGCGACGTAACTGCGTTTGAACCGCTGCAGAACCTACCTAAGTTTTGACCGTCTAAGCTGACAAGGCTTGACGTCAGCCCCACTTTTTCAGGTATATATATATATAACTGCAAACTGTATCACTTTGTCTGCATTTAAGACATTGCAAGAAAAAGATTAATTAAAATATTTGGCAATTAATATACATCCTTTATATATAACCAAAATTATTACTATTAACAATACCCACATATATATATATATATATAACCAAAATTATTACTATTAACAATACCCACATTTTATATATATATATTTGCTTTTTTTTATTATTATTTTTTTTTTTGGTTTAAAGTTAGGCATGTTCGGATTGATGGATTTGATTGTTTGGTTTAAATATAAAATCCATGGATTGTTAATCAAATTTCCATGCACTCATGTTTGGTTAGATGAATACAATCATGGATTTGATAAATAATTTATAACTTTACCCTCAATATCCAAAACCAACAAAACATCAACTTTCATCTAATTAAATACAAGTCAAATTATATTTGATAAAGAAGTCTTATTATAATAAGGGAAATGCTAAGGCACAAAGACTCTTACAAAGAGTCTTTGTTACAAAGAGTTTTTGTACAAAGTGATGTAACATCTATCACACCACTAGTTTCACATCAATCTTCTCTTTCTTTTTACAAACTAGTGGCGTGACAGTTATCACATCACTTTGTACAAAGACTTCTACAAAAAGTCTTTATACATCTAGTATTTCTCTTATGATAAATGATTTTTTATGATTTGGTAAATAAAACAAAAAAATTTCAAGTTAATATAATATATTATCAACTATCTTCATTTATGATAACTTCAATAGTTGAATAATTTCATATTAAAACATATAACATAACCATACCTATATAGAAAATTAGTGTCAATATAATGCACTAACACCGTGTCCAAAAACATACAAAACTTGCTGGAACATTAGTGAGTTTCATCATAGCATATTAGTGTCACAAGACACTAAACATTACAAAATAATCATAACCAAAAAGCATAATCAGTTGCTAGTCATGCATTTGGAATCAAAAGAGTCAAAACATATGTCTTCTTTGCTTCATCATCTAAGTTGAAGAAGAAATCAGTTTCAAATGGGTATTTGAGTACTATCTTTCTTACTACAGCTAATAAGTTCTTATCCAAATAACAAAAAGAATCATCTGGAAAAATTGAAATAATTAAAAAGCTTTTTGCAAATAAGAAATTGAAAATAATTAATTAAAGAAACAGAAACTCACAAATAGATTATTTTTCTAGTATGCTCTGAAGATGTAGATGATGTAAAGATGAAGAGCTCAAAAAGAGAAAACGAAAAATATATTTCTTTTAATTAGGGTAAAGGGTAATTTTTTAGATTTTAAATTATTAACAAGGATAGTATTGGATGATTAAAATATTAATAAAAACCCTCATTTTATTAAAACGGATGGATTTGGCAAAATCTCACTTCCCAGGTGGGATTTAAAAACCCTCAAAAATGAAGGATTTTGGAGGGTGGTGAATTTTCCAAAATCCATGGATTTTAACTTAAAAAAAAAAAAAAAAGCCCAAAGGAAGAATTTTACTAAATTCATGAATTTAACAAGTCATTCATTTAAGATCCCTCAATCCAAACGAGGCCTTAAGAGATTTCATATCAAAACATTACAATATTATTTCATCTCTATATATATCTTTAGATGAAACTTTATTTTAAAAAAAAAAAATTCGCTAAGTAATGGCATTCAAGCATCCGGAATTAATATAAATCTTACTATGAGAGAATTTTTATTTACTGTTTACTGAAAAGCGATTAGATTCTTGTGAAGTAAAGTGTATAGTACTCTTTGAATTTATTGTGTGATTCAAGGGTCTTGAATCAGCTTTAAGAGAAAATAGAATGCAATATTCTTAGAAAATAAATTAATTATCTGTGGGATATACATATACATATTAATATAGTAATTATAATTAGTTAATGAACAGAATAAAGGAGATAATGATCCTTTTAATTAGTTTATATTTGAATAGCACGTGAAAGGTTTTCCAAGCTGCATGGCTTAAGAGATAGAAGCAAAAATGATAAATTATGAAGGCTTTTACAAAGTTGGATATGATATGAAGAAAAACTTATAAAATGGATAGTGGACTCTCGACAACTGGATCATTCTGTAAAGATAGAACGAACAAAAAGCAAAAATTAAAAGCCCCGTTTTCATTCGCTCCCTTTCAAAACACTCGAAAAATAAAAAATAAAAAAAATTATGTGGTTTCTATTATTTATTTTATAATTTAGAAATCCTCCACTTCGAATTACAATCCCAGATATACCTTCGTCTGATCATATTTCATGTTTTAAAGAGGGATCTTACGCGTGTGTGTGTGTGTAATAGATGTCAACATTAATACAAATTTTACAAGTTTTTCAGTAGGGTTTATAGTTGGTATCCTAAAGTACAATAAACCTCATGAAGTATATCTGTAATTAGGTTGACATTTTTCTTAATATCAAAAATTATAAATGATAAGTGAATATTACATGTCTATGAAACTTTGCATGTTTGTTTATAATTCATGTAGTAGCTTGTTTATTTTTTCAATTATTTATTTTTGTAACCGAGTGTTTGGGCCAGTTTATGTGCATCTCAATTAATTTTCGGAATCTATTGAACACCCTACAAACCCAAAACACTAAGTAAATCACAATTTTATTATGATAGGTGGACCTAAGGTTTGAACCAAAAATTTCAAGGAAAGGAGCAGGCCTCCTTGACGGTCAGACCAATCCCTTAAGGTTTAGTAGCTTGTTTATTAATGACATATTAATTACATATAAATGATATAATTATATAAGTTGTCCCATAAATTGAATCTCAAATCAAGGACTCAGCTTCAATTTCTTTTCTTTTATGTAATTTTTTTTTATAAAATATCTAAAAGTGTTGAAACATGTTTTTTTTTTTAAAAAAAAAAATTATTATCAAATATTTATTACTTAAAAATATTTTATGACTTTACAAAAAATATCCCATAAAATTAGCATACATGTATTTTTCTTTTTCCTTTTTATAAAAAAATATTGCAACCATTTTCATTTATTTTTTAAAAATTACAAAATTAATTTTTATTCATTTTAATTTTAGTTGAATTAATGGATTGTATAGTCCACATAGTAGCCCAATGATAAACTATTGGGCCAAAAAATTTGAAGGGCCCAAGGCCTTAAAAGCTCATCAGTGTTGGAGGATTACAAATTACCAAACTACGTCGTTTCAATTCTCACAACATCTATACTTGCCAAAGAAGCGGGAAAAACTGAAACCCTAGTAAAGAATCCCAACTTCAGAAGAAACCACGTCGTTTTTCGTTCTCACTAGTCACTTCATCCACACTTGCCGAAGAAGTGAGAAAACCTAGTAAACGATCCACAACTTCAAATCAAATAGAACAACGGAGGCATTTGAACTTACTGAAAAAGAAAAGGGTTAGTATTTGAAATTAAATTTGGTGCTTAAAAGTCTTTTTTTTTTTTTTTTCCATCATTTATGTCATTGTGAACAATTTTATTTGAGAGCTGTTGTTGGATGAATGATGTTGATGTTTTGGCCAACAGTCTCTGTACACTTTCATATATCATGTTTAGGCAAAATATGTTTGTAAAATTTACTTGAATTGGGAAGAAAATGCATTGATAATTTATAGTTTTCAAGAATTAGTTTTATTATTCTTATACCCAGTTTTCTTGTAAGTGATTTACTGTGGAACCTAAAAAACTTATTCCCATTGTTAAAATCATTGTTTTACTGAGTTTGAATTCTGTATTTTAGGGAGTCAGATTAAATTGTGGACAAAGATACTATGGTTTTACAACGTAATTCAAAAATCCGGAAGCCTTTGATAAGATGGAAAGTCGGTGCAGGCGAAGATTTAATCAGCAAATTGCCTGACAGTATCATCCTTCACATTTTTTCCTTCCTTCCCATCAAAGTTGTTTTGAGGACTTCTGCATTGTCAACAAGATGGAAAAATCTTTGGACTTCTATTTCTAATATTGATTTCGATGAGTGTAGTCATTATCTGCAGCTGGGCATGAAGCCTAGCTTTTTAGATTCTGTAGAAAAAGTACTCCATCGTGATCCTTCATGTATACGGAAATTCTGTTTCAGGTGTATTATGGATGTCAGCGCATCGCGTATTAATTCATGGATATCTGTTGCTGTAACTCTTAAGGTTCAAGAGCTTGATCTTTCCTTACCTCATACGTCATGCTTTGAGTTACCTGATGCCCTTTTTAGTTCTGATACACTCAAGATATTGAGATTAGATATGAGAGTTCTTTTCAAGGTTCCTCCGTTAAAACACTTGTCAAACCTTAAAACATTACGTCTTTGGTCGGTAACATTTGAAGGTGATCAGTCCACTGAACAAATTCTTTCTGGTTGTCCAGTTCTTGAGGAGTTGGATCTATACCGTTGTTTCTGGAAGAATACTGTTGAAGTCACCGTTTCTGTTCCTACTCTAAGGACATTGGAGATCAGTAGCCTTCTCTCTCTTTGTCTTTTCAGAATTTATGCGGAAAATCTGATCTCTCTTAAATTGCAGAAGTTGTTTACCAGTTCAAGTTTTACTATGTAACATGTCTTCTCTGAAGGATTCACTTTTTCATGAAGAATATTATGGATATAAGAAAAAAGAATGTGCTCAACGTGCAATAAAATTAATTGGTGGAGCTCATAATGTCGAAACACTTACACTGTCAAATGATATCCTTGAGGTGCAGTAACTTTTTTGCTTGAGCAACCGTTGCTAGAAATCTTTAATCATTATTTTATGTTCATTCTATCGACCAGCATCTTATAATTCTTTCATGAGACTAATTTGTTTTTCCTTCTTGTGCCAAGTGTCTCTCTTTTGAGGAAAATCTCCATACTTGTCTTCCTACATTTCATACCTTGGCTCATTTGAAGGTGATTTCATGTAATTATGGCCATACAAATGGCGCATTGATGAACTTTCTTCTGAAATCACCTATTGTCGAATCTCTTGAGATTCCAAGTGTAAAATTTTAAACTCCAAACATATACTAGATACTATATTATCTATAGCTTTAAGTTGGATTAGCAAGGAACTTATGATATTTTTAGAAGTGATGAACTAATTTGTGATTGTTATGCAGGTTTTCCACCGGGATAATCGTTTGTTATTGAACATTGTTCCCCAATGTTTGAAGTCATGCCTCAAGACTGTTATCATCGCATTCTTTGAAGGTTATGTACGAGAAGTAACTTTCTTAAAATATTTTCTTAAGAATGCAAACATGTTGGAGAGGGTCACAATATTCTGTACAAGGAATTACTCCACAAATTTGGAAAAGCAGAACAATGTCTACCATGAGTTACAAGCAATTCGCCGATGCGTAATTGAGTTTCGTTATTCTTGGACTCGTCGTGAAAGATATTGGTAATTAACATGCTTTAAATATTTTGCTGAATGTGTAATTGAATGTCAATGATATATTGGCACTTCATCTAGTAAACTCAAGTAAGTTGCCTTAAAAAAATTTTAGGTTCCTTGTAAAGGGCTTATCTATATATATTTTTTTTTTATAGTTTCAAATATGGTTGGTGGATGTTGCAATCTCTCTTGACAGAAAGCCTCAAAAGCAAAAGAACTTATCTTGCTTAAGTTCTTGATCTCATGAACTAGTGAAGATTAAAGTTTAATCAAAAGCTTTTTCTATTGAAACATTAAGAATACCTTCATGTCTTTTTTTTTTTCCTCCTATTATGTTGGCCAATATATATGAAGCCCCAACGAAACGGAAGCGTTTAATTCTCACTCCACTTAAACTTAAAGTATGTCTTAACGAAGTATTAAACTATGAAGTGAATGGGAACAAGAGAAGCTTGAGATAATCATTCGATTGTGTAATTTTTATTTTTATTTTTTGGGAATTTATGGAAATTTTAATATTATTTTCAAATTTATGTTTTCAGTTTTTGATGATTATGGTATTAAGTTTCTTTTGTGGGTTTTAATAAATCTTTGTCCACTTATAAAATGATATTGAAACTTTGCATGTTCATTGATACAATTACAACGGGTTTTGATCATCGATACGAATATTTAAGTTTTATTTTAGAGCTTTTTATGGATAATTTTATTGATATTTTATTCGATAGTTTATGTTTAGAATAATATTATTCTTACAAAGAGTGTATACACAATATGGATTGATTACCTGAATAGGAAGAAAAAATGTTAAATCAAGTAAACTAAAAAATGAGGATAAAATTTTTTATTCAAACTAAGATGAAATAAGCTCTGTTATAAATATATACATTAAATAATAAAAAAAAAATGTCATTAATTACAAGGTGTGCTGGTCCTTAAAATAATCTCAAGTAATCACTCATATCAAATGCTATTCTACGATCCAACAAATTAAGGCCCAACTCCGAGGCCTCAAAAGCCCATCAATGTAAGAGAGGCATAAGTATATTGACGACAGCGTTTCAATACTCACTTCACTTGAACTCGATGGGAAGGAGAAGCTGAGGAGAGTTCCTTACCATTTCTGGTATTTTTACTTTTCCTGCAAATTTCCATCACTTTGGTGCATGTTTTGACCTTTTATGTAAATTTTAGCAACTTTATGTTTTAGATTTTGTTACAGTTCCACGTACGTCGATGTATTGATCGTGTTTTAATCTTAATGTTAAATCCATTAATTCTTATACAGAATTTTGATAATTGAATTTGGTTTTGATTATTAAATATTGCGTTAGATTTTTTAATTTTTAATCATCAATGTTAAAGTGAACATATTTATTTTGGAGCTTTTTTCGGATGAATATGTTGATATTTTGGCCTACAGTTTCTGTACAATTTCTTATATCGTGTTTAGGCATAATATGCTTATAAAAATTACATGATGATTTCACAGTTTTCAAGAATTAGTTTTATTATCTTTATACTGAGTTTTCATGTTGATAATTTCACTGTGAAACCTAGAAAACTTATTCCCATAGTTAAAATTCGTTGTTATTATGGACAAAGATACTATGGTTTTAATTCAAAAACCCGGAAGCATTTCAAAAGACAGAAAGTAGGTGTAGAGGTAGAAAAGTGACCTGACCCGTGGTGAGGTAGTGCAAATTATCGGGCCTAACCTAACCGTCTCTTTGTTCAAAAGGGTCAGCCCAACCCGGCCTGCCAACCCTAATTCGGTGGGTTTTTGTACAGGCCAAACCAGCAAAAAAATTTTTTTTATTATTTTTTTTCTTTTGTATAATTTTTTTTAGTTAACTTTTCAAATATCAATTCAATTCAATTAATTTTTTTTAACTTAACATTTCAAATATTAATTCAATTTTAATACAATTAAATTGTAATATCAGAAAAATTAAATTTATTCATTTATCAAAAAATAAAATAGGAAATAAGAAATTACAACAATTATTGTCTCGTTAGAAACCTTATCAAGAAAAGCACAATTGAGATAAAACTTGATAAAGAAAAAAAAGTGCAATAATTGATAGTTAAATTTATAAATTACAAAGTTACAATTTACACAACAACTAATTTGAGGGTTGACTAAGACTCCCTCATCTGTATCATCTAAATTACAAAATTGAAATGATTTTATTAAAGTATCGTCGACAACCTCGTATTGATCCTGATGGCGTGATCGTTCCCAATCTCGAAGACATGTAAGGACTTTAAATCAATTTCGGTGAAAGTTTAGTCCTCATTTCATTTAAAATTCTTCCACTTACACTATATGTTTGTTCGGATGAGACGATTAAGACAGAAACTGAGAAAACATCCAGGGCAAGTCTTGATAGTACCAGAAAAATACATTTTCTGGTTTTTCAATATTCTAAGACATCAAAGTTGGCTCTTTGTTGTGGATCTGCTAGTAACAAGTCAGGGGTTTCAAAATATTGGTGAAGCTCATTACTCTGTAGCTGCATAGAAGACAATATATTCGTTCCCATACCGACTTTCATATTACAAATAGAGAAAGACTAGACTTACAAAAATTTCTACAAAGAGTCTTTGTACAAAGTGATGTGACAACTAACGTGGTAAGCCACATCACCACTTTCCACGTTAGCATTTTCTTAAATATTTAATAATTAATTAATTATATTAATTAAAATATTTCAATTAACCTAAATTCACAAAAAAAAAAAAAAAAAAAAAAAAAATTGATTATACTATATCAAAAATCCGTTCTCATCCTTCATCTTCTTCTCTTCCCTTCTCTTCTCTTCTCTTCTCCTCCTCTTCCTTTCTTATTTATTTCCCAATCTCAACTGCACCATCGTCGTATATCCTTTTCGACCATCACTCGTAACGCATCGTTACTATTCACGAGGCACTGCCAAGGTGCGGCCAACCACCAATCCCTTGCCTCTCGTGGCACTACCAACCATACCACATCTGGCCACGGTTTTGCCAGCCACTAGGCCACCCAAGGCCAAGGTGTGGCCAACCACCAATCCCTTATCTTCCTCTTCTTTACATTTTAGTTTTTTCTTCTATTTTCTTTTTTTCTTACTCTTAATAAAAAAATACATTATAAACATAATTAATTACAACCCTTCAATCTCCAAATTCACCAAATCTAATTTCTTAAGAAAAATTAATAATAAACTGAAGAAATAAAAAATTTGAGCCAACCACCAGATCTGGGTCGTGGTGGCCAAACATCGGATTTGGGCAGTGGTGGCAAGATTCAACCATTTCCCAAGTGCAATTGGAGGAAGATGGAGAAAGAGAATGAGAAATAAGGAGGAGATAGAGAAGAAAGGTGGAAGAGGAGAGAGAAAAAAAAACAGATAAGAAAGGAAGAGGAGGAAAAGAGAAGCAGAAAAGAGGAAGAAGATGAAGGATGAGAAATAACAATGGAAAATTAGGGTTTGAATAACAGAAAAGGAATTGGGGATTTTTTATTTAATAGAATCATTTTTTTTTTTTTTTTGGAATTTGGATTAATTAAAATATTTTAATTAATATAATTAATTAAATATTTAAAAATGCTGATGTGGAAAGTGGAGACGTGGCAGGTGATGTGGCTTGCCGTTACTGTCACTTTGTACAAAGACTTTTTGTAAGTCTTTATAAGTTTAGCATTTCTCTTGTAAATATACCTTTCCAAGATACTCTTTTATCTGTTTTAATTGATTGGCATACGCTTCTTTTTGTAAATTTTCACTTAACATGTCTAAAACATTTTCTAAACCCACTAATTTAAGCATAAGATCAAATATGACAGCTAAACAATAAAGAAAATGAATGAGTTTCTAATATTTTTTAAATTTAAAATCCATTGCTTCTATTGGTCTCGCTAAAATTTCATTGTTTCTGTTTCGAGCAAATAAATTTAAAAATTGTATGTATTACCAATAGACTAGTAGGATAATATACACCAGAAAGTTTTAAAGTGGCAAGATAAAATGTTTTAAGAAAAGAATGAAATTTTTGAGCTATATGCCAATCACTTTCTACCAAATAATGAGGACTCCTCTTATTTGTTATAAAATAACTAATTAAATTTGCATAAAGTAAACATGAATCAAGCATTAAATAAGTACTATTCCACCTAACTGGCATGTCTAATACAAAAGTTCTAAAAGACAAATTTGATTTTTTATATACATCTTAAAATTCAGAATTTCTTTTATTACTACTAATAATTCAAGCTAAACAATTCATAATTCTATCAATATTATTTCTAATTCTTTTCATACCACTTTTTACAATTAAATTAGTAATGTGACATGCATAACGTTGATGAAAAAACTTCAAATTCTCATAAAAAGGAAAATTTATTTTTAAAAAAATTTACAGCTCTACTGTTAGTATTAGCATTATCTAAAGTTGGACTAATCACTTTGTGAACAATATCATATTATTCTAAAACTTCAACAATTTTATAATAAAATTTTTGACCACTGTGATCCACATCCATTAATTTAAATCCTAATAAAGATTTATTTAATTTACATTCGTTATCAAAATAATGACTAGTCACATAAATATAATCTTGTTTAGTTCTATCACTCCAAATATCAATGGTTAGAGCCACACTAACATAACAACTATGTATTTTATTTCTTATTTCTAATTTTATTTTCTTAAACAAATTTATTAAATCATTTCTAGTTGAAGTTTTAGAATAAGTTCTAAATTCTGGTAAAAATGAATTTTTATTAAATCTTTCAAAATATTTATCTTCAGCCATATTAATAGGTTGATCAGTTGCAACAATATATAAAGCTAATTGTTCCCTATATACATCAGAATTATAACGATAAGTATTATCCATACTAGTTATTTGAGTCTGATTGGTTTCTCTATTTCCATGATGATTTATATGTTTACCAGCATGCCTTTTTAAAGTACTAGTACAATTACCTGCATTAGCTTTATAAACATTTCCATAATATTTGCATCTTACTTTCTTCACTTGAACTCAATTTTCTGTCTCGTAAAATTTTTCGAAATGCACCTAAACGTTTGATGTGTGCTTGTCTTCGATTCCGATAGCTGCAGTTGATAAACCCGCTTCTACTTCAGATGATGTTGGACGAGGACGACGATTACGAGAATGACCTCTAGAACCACTGGGAGCTGAAGCAGCATAGGGAGGAAGGGGGGAAATATTATGAGGTGTATTAGATTCTAAATAAATTTCGTTTCATTGGCCTCTCCTAAATTTCATAACTAAATAAATTTATGAATTTAACTTATTATTTTCGTATTGTAATGCACATTATTCGTATCAATAACACTACACATACAACACTCCCTTACAATATGACATGGCATCTAAAGTGGCATATGCCATCTCATCTGCCACATTACTTGTAGAGGTCGTGGAGTTGGTGTAGAGGTCAACTTGGTGTAGCTGTGGTGGCGACTGTGTTTCGCGTGAGATTGGGAAATGTGGTGGCTAGGGTTCTAAAAATTGAAAGGAAATTTGGGAAAAACTTTAGGGTTTGAATTTCATGGAAAATGAAATTGATTTAGGGAAAATGAAATTTAAAATTTAGGGTTGTAAGGAATTTTTTTTTTTTTTTTTTTTTTTTAAATTTTGGGAGGGAAGTGACATGGCATCTAAGTGATGTGACAGATGAGGCAGCATATGCCATATCATATTGTAAGAGAATGTTGTATATGTAGTGTTATTGATACGAATAGTGTGCATTACAACACGGAAATGATAAGTTAAATTCATAAATTTATTTAGTTATGAAATTTAGGAGAGGCCAACGAAACGACATATTTAATTCTCACTCCACTTGAACTCAACTAAGAAAACCAAATATTAAACGACAAAGCGAAGATATATTAGTTGTAATTTCTCTGAATAAATTAGAAATATATATTAATCTATAATCAAATTCAATACTGAGATACACTAGACTCCGTTTGGTTCACTATTATAATATAAAATTAAGTTATTTTTATGAAAAAGATAATTGTCAATATTTTGAGTTGGATAAAATATGATTGGATTTTTAGAATATCAAAAAAAAAACGTATTTTTGAGTTTGGATAATGGGAAATTAGTGAAACAATTTTTATAATCCAATTCTTTCATGTCAAAGTCCAAAGTCTGTCCGCGTGTGGACATCGTTTTCTTTCTCACTTCACTGTACAATGCGGTCTCTAGTTCAAAGTGAACAAGAAAAGGGCACTCAGTAGACGACTTCAACAGTGAAGTCTTCCAACACCTAAATCCCCAATTCTTCCCGTCAAAGGTTCTTCCAATTTCCTAGCCAAATTCATTTCTTCAGTTTTGACCAATTTAAAGCGGAATTTTTTTTCTGGGTATTTCATTTACTGTGTGTCAGTAATTCTTTGTCCATTGATACAATTATACTGAAGCTTTACATGTTCATTGATATTAATATAATGGGTTTTGATCATTGATGTGGATCGTAATAGTTTTATTTTGAAGTTTTGATTGGGTGAATCATGTTGATATTTTGTTGAACAGTTGTCATATCTGTAATTTTCATCGTTAATTTGTAGCTGAAATTAGGGTTTTTTTATTTATTTTTATTTTAGTTGTAAACATGAAACCTTTAGCTTTCTGCTTTTACTTTTCTTGTTTAATATCTATTTTTTAAAATTTATTTTTTTGAGAAGAAGTTATAGATTAGTTTCTTAATTTCATAGTTTGATGTTAACTCCTAGAGTTAATTTGTCATGCTTACTGAGTTTTGATGTTGATAATTTCTTGTGGAACTTAAAAGAATATACTCATAGTAGATTAAAGTTTTAGTTATATCATTCTTATACTGAGATTGAATTCTTTGTTTTAGGGAGATGGACTCAATTATGAGCATGGAAGCTTTTGTTTCACTGCTTAATTTGAAAGCCAGAGAATTTCTTATGGAACGGAATGCTGATGTGGGCAAAGATATAATTAGCAAATTACCTGACTCTATTCTACTTCACATTCTTTCCTTCCTTCCCATCAAAGATGTTTTAAGAACTTCTGTATTGTCGACAAGATGGAAATATCTTTGGACCTCTATTTCCAATATTTATTTTGATGAGACTAGTAATAATTTTCCATCAGGCATGAGGGCAAGCATTCGGGATTCAGTGAATAAAGTATTCCTCCTCCATGATACTTCAAGTATACAAAAGTTCCGTCTTAGGAGTAGAAGGAGTGTCAGCAGATCACGTCTTAATTCATGGGTATCGACTGCAATAAGTCATAAGGTTGAAGAGCTTGATCTTGACTTGCCTGTTTCACCATCCTTTAAGTTGCCTGATACCCTTTTTACCTCTGATACGCTCAGCATATTGAAATTGAATATGGAAATAGTGTTCAAGGTTCCCAGGTTCACACGCTTCTCAAACCTTAGAACTCTATCTCTAAGGAAGGTTAAATTTCATGGTAACCAATATGCTGAACATCTTTTTTCTGCCTGTCTAGTTCTCCAAGAGTTGGTTTTATGCAAATGCGTTTTGGTGGATACCACGAGAATCACCATTTCTATTCCTACTTTAAGGAAATTGGAAATCCGTCATCCTCTCCCCCTAGACTATCAATTATATGGATGTTGTGTCACAGTTTGTGCAGAAAATCTGATCTCTCTTAGTTGCAAAAGTTGTGCAGTAGTTGAACTTGTACTAAGCAACCTATCTTCAATGAAGGATGCATATATTGATGAAGAATGTTCCGGATATCAGGATAATGAATTTAGTAGACGTGTTATAGGAGTATTAGGTGGAATGCATAATGTTCAGTCGCTTAGATTGTCATATGATACCCTTCAGGTATGACAACTTCTTCTTGAGCAACTGGTCTTAGAAGTTCTTTCTTCATATGTTCATTCTATGGATAGATATAACATAATTCTCTTTTGACATTAACCCTTATTCCTTTTTGTGCCAAGTGTCTCGCTCGTGAAAAAAATCTTCAAGCTAGTCTTCCAATGTTTCATAACTTGAGTCATTTGAAGGTGATTAAGAAGATGTACGATTATACAAATGAGGAAGTGTTGATGTCCTTTCTTGAGAAATCACCTAATGTAAAAACTCTTGAGTTACCTGAGGTAGTTATATCAATTATAGCTGCAAGTTGATCTCCATAGAACTCAAATTTTATGGGATGTGAAGCCTCCTTTTCCATTAATAATTTGTGTTCATTATGCAGGTTTGGGTAAAAAACATTTTCCCTCAATGTTTGAAGTCTTGCATCAAGACTGTTAGCATCGCACATTTTGAAGGCTGGTATAGAGAAGTTCTTTTCTTAAAACATTTGCTTAGGAATTCAAACGTTTTGGAGAGGCTTACAGTTTTTTGTGGAAAGGACTTAGCCAGAGATTTGCGGAAGCTGAATGAGATCAACCATGAGTTACAAGCAATTCACAGTTGTGAAATTGAGTTTCGTAAAGGTTTTAAGCGTGATTGAGATCGTGATCGCATTTTCTGATAATTTATACGTTTAGAAGTCATTTGTTTTGATGACTGCATAATTGAATATCCATGATGTATTGACACTGAACCTGGTGTGCTTTGGTAGCTTGCCTGTAGAAAATTTCAGTACCTTGTTAAGTTCATATCTATATTATATTTTTATATAATCTGTGTAATGCGAAGTGTTGATGCCAATTTTAGATGTGTTTATATTTTTAGCTGACTTACTTTCTTGGTGTCACTGCATCAGTATAATTTTTATATCAAATTTTGGCATATTCTTGAGTGATGATTGATCAGTTATTATTTAAGGGAATTTCTGAATTAATATATTAGATTAATCTACATTGGATGATGTGACTCTCTATTATTTAATTAAAAATTATTTCTTATATTCAAATAAATAAATATATTATAGAATCCAATTCTAACCAATAAATAAATATACTTCAAAATAGTTTGATTATAGTATTAGATTAATTTTAACCTTCTTATCCCAATGCCTGAAAAGCAGAAGAGAGCTCATCAGTAGCGTTAAAATTATCACATCTCATAACCTAAAATTATCACATCTCATAACCCAACTCTGGTCAATTTAATTTTCCAGCCAAATTGATTTCGAAGTTCAATTTATGTTTTTGGTTTTAATAGTTCTTTCTTGTAAGAGTGAATTCTGAACATGGACGCTGTTGTTTCACAGCCTAATTCAAAAGCCAGGAAGATTTTGATGGGCAACGGCGAGGGCAAGGGCAAAGATTATATCAGTAAATTACCTGACAATATTTTACATTACATACTTTCGTTTCTTTCCAGTAAAGAAGTTTTGAGAATTTTTGTATTGTCAAGAAGATGAAAATGCATTTTTACTTCCATTACCAACATTGATTTTGATGAGAATAGTCATAATCTATCGAGGTTAGGCATGAAGACTAGCTTTCTGAATTCTGCAGAAGAAATAGTCCTCCTGCATGGTGCTTCGAATATACAAAAAATTCCATCTAAGGTGTTGTATGAGTGTTAGTGCGCCGCGTGTTAGTTCATGGTTATCGGCTGCAATAAGTCATAATGTTGAAGAGATTGATCTTTCCCTGATTTTTAGTACACATTTTGTGTTGCCTGATACCCTTTTTATTTGAATCACTCAGCATGATGAATTTACGCGGGGGGGGGGTGCGGGGGCGGGCACGCGTGGGGGATACTTCATGGTTCATAGTTTTGTACATTTTCCAAACCTTGAGACTTTACATCTTATGGTTACATTTCCAGGTGATCGATCCACCGAAAGATTCTTTTCCGGTTGTCCAATCCTTGAAAATATGATTGCATTTTGGAACTGTACCAAGAGAGTCACCATTTCTATTCCCAGTGTAAAAGCACTGACTATTGATGGCGGCCCTTGCTCTCCAAACTATTTACTTGAAATTGTTGTTGCATTTTATGCAGAAAATCTTATCTCTGTTCAATACACTAATTTTGTGCCAGTTGAACTTTTCCTATGTGACCTGTTTTCACTAACTAATGCATATACTAATGTTACATCTTTGGGGCATACGGAAAGTGAAATTGCCCAACGTGCAACAGGCCTACTTCATGGAATTCATATTGTCAAAACTTTGACACTGTCAACAGAAATTCTTGAGGTACGATGACTTATCCTTTCTCAATTACGTAAAGTCTATTTGTCATGTTTTATGTTCATAATCTAGGCAGATATCTGAATTCTTAAATATTTCTTAGTCTCTTTGTTGAAGAAAAGCTCCAAGATTGTCTTCCTAAATTTCTAGAGTTGACTCATTTGAACGTGATTCCGGTTATGCCTCAAACAAACAAAAAAGTGTTCTAAGTGCTTTCTTGAAAATTCACCTTCTTCACCAAATCAGTGTATTTTCACTTCCATTTCAACGCAGCCCTTTCCGAATGTGACTCGGCAAGAGTAAAGAGGATTTTTTTTTTTTTTTTTTGAGTAATACTACACTTACAAAATTTTTTTACAAAGATCTTCACACAAAATAATGTGACAAAAAAAGAATAAAAGAGTAAATTTAATGAGTTTGATTTTTTATTTCACTTTTTTATTCATTTTTTACCACTTCACTTTGTATGTAAATATTTGTAAGATTTATTTATAAATATAGTATTATTATTTTTTTATTTTTTTACTAATACCAAGTTCCAATTTAGGTATCAACCCTACCTCCTACCAGTAATGAAGCGCCAAAATTGGTAAAGAAGGTAACGCCATTTTCCGCACAGACTCTCCGAATGCAAAATTTCCTATCCATTTCCTTAATTTATCATAAAAATGCAAAGCAACGCCCAAGTACTGTAAAACTTGATATACAGTTTTGATCAGACAATGTAGCACTGGGATTTTCCATTCAAGTCTAGTTCTTGATTAAAGATCATTACTTACTATCTGTACCACTTGAACCCTCATTGGAAAGCATTTTCTTCCTTTTCCTTTTTAAAGCTTTCTCAAAGTCACAGCCTGACAGTGATAACATCAGGTTCAGCCGCATTTTCACTCCGCACTCTGTTACAAGTGCATACCGCGGTTTAATCCTCTCTTCCAAACTGTAACTAAAATACTGAGGGAACTTAACTAGCTCAAATTTTGAGTAACCCATGGTCATTAAAAACTCCCATTTTGGTATCAAGCTTTTGGTGAAGCTAATATTATACAAAGTAGGACTTCTAGAAACCATTATCCCCACTTCTTCAATACTAAATCCCCTCTCCAAGAAAAACTTGGCCATAGGCTTTAGCTTGTCTTCCACACTGTAGCCTATATAGACCGGGTGCCGAGTTAAGATCTTACCAATGCTTTCTGCTGACAGGCCCAACTCATAGAGGAAATCAACAATTGCCTGAACCTTATCCCTGCTAAAAGTGAGAAGTGACGGGTAACGATGTATAACTTTTGCCCACTGTTTCTTGTCTACACCCACACCTTCTAAGAATGTCAAGGTGGGGATTACATTTGCAAATAGACTAAGTCCGCATAATTGAGGACAGCTGCAGATAATTTTAAGAATGCCTGATTGAGGTACCCCAAGATCAAGAAGAAACTTAACCAGCGGCTTGATTTTCTTCTCCAAGCTGTCGTAGACAAGTTTTGGATATCTACGAATAATTCCCTTGATCTGCTCATGATCCATGCCAAGCTCTATGAGGTAGATAAGTTGAGGGTGCAGATCTGCAGCTAGACCTGTGTCAATTACTTGAGAGACCACTTTCGGCTTCTTGGAGTTGAGGTTGGAATGGTTTTGAGAAACTGGCTCAGCTGGCTTTTCTTTGACAAGTGAATCAGGAAAGTTCTCCACCACATTTACCAAAGCATTTCCATGCTCTTCAAGCAGAGATTCAAGGTAAGGAATGAGGGTGTCCCTGACCTCCAGATTTGTGAGCTCTCTTACTTCAATGGCAAGAAAAACTGATTAAAATGGAAACAAAGACACTGATACAGAAACCCAAATAGAAATACACACAATGCAACCCAACCTACAAGACACCGAGATCTATGAGCTGCATGAATCCTTGAAACTAAGTGGTTGATGAAAAGATCTGATCTAGTGATGGTTCTTGCAGCCAATTCCTTGCTCAGACCTTGTTTCTTCAAGAACAAAGTGAACACAGACTTGGTCTCTTCCTTTTCAGCTGCTAACTTCATTGGAGGCTCTACTCTTGAGTTGAATGATCCATGTACACAGGAATCAGCTGTTATTACACCAGAACACCATGTTAATAGTATGAAGTGGAAAGATACATGCAAAAACCATAATTTCAGCTTGTATAAGATGGTTCAAATACTACTAGAAAAACTGCTTGCCCAGCAACAGAAGAGTTTCTCGGGAGAAGTAAGTTGAGTCCTGCGGAAGAATACAAGGAAATCAATGTTATACCTCACACACAAACAACATAAATAAAGTCTATAGAAAAGTGAGAAAGGGGATTTGGACATTCTATTTAACAAAACTTATACAACAGACCTTAAAAGTCTTAATTAAGATGCTTTAAAATTCACCACATAGTCACACAACATAGAACAGGGTAAATGCTTTTATCCTAAAGATGCATACTAACATTCAATGAATAAACATATAATGGACTTTGTCAAATGCCAAAACCAAATTTGTCCTCCAATGGCAGTAAGATTACTACCATATTCAAGTTAATATTTATCTATAGTTTTCTTAATTCTACCTTTAAGCTAATCTGTAAATGCTCATTTTCACCAATTCTTTCCATCCTAGCACCAGAATGCATCCATTTAAATCCACTACATCAAGGTCTTCATGCAAGTAATTTTGGTTTACCAAATATCTTATTTTACAAAGAAGTATAAAATTTTGAAATTTTTACTCTTACATTTTTTTAGCATATTGTTTTCAACCGTTATCAGTTAGCGTGCGTGCGTGCACACACACACTCACGAAAAAAAAAGCTTGCAGCTTTTCTGTAGCAAGGAATTTGAAACATAAAGACAAATGGTAAAAGAATAAAATACCTTATGATGTAGAAAGCTCCTCTACAGAGAGATGAAATGTCTGAAGAGTGACTTCCACAAAGGGCCTGCATTTTCAGCTTGAAGAAGCCAAACAGAAACTTAATACAAGAAAGGTGCACAAACTCAATGGATCTTTTAGTTTTTAATGTTTACACACTTATTTCAGCTTCAAACTTCAGAACTTTCAGAAAACATTAAAAAAAAAAAATCATTTTGATCAAAATCCCCATAAAAGTTAAAGAGATTGCAAACCCAGATAGACCAAACTAAACTGTACAGTAAAAATGCATCAAACCTAAAATATGGTTGACTCAATTTAAAGACGAAATAACGGTAAAAAAAAAAAATTAATAATAATAAATAAAAAACCCTCAAACGACTGATAATTTTTTTAGTACCAAAATATGTAGAGATTAAAGAAAAGATTGCAGAGCTTACAAACAAGGAACAAGAAGATTTTGAAGCTTATCTGAGGAAGAGCAATGACGTTATTTCCGCTTCTTCACTACCTTCAATATCTTTTCAATTATCATTTACTTTCTCTTTTCTCTTATTGGGGCTCCTTTTTCTACATTTAAATCAATTGATTAATAGGAAGAATCGGTGAATTGGAAGATTGAAGTAGAAAGTGAAAGCGGTTTTCCATGGTGGCTCTTGAAGAGTTCGTTTGAATGTTTGATAAGTCGACTGCTATAGGGTTCGGGTTTTGAGAGGGGAGGTCAAAGAAAATATACGAAATGTAGGGGAAATAAAAGATAGCTTTCATACCTTGGGGTTTCGAACCTATCCCAAATATCAGGGGGTTAAATAGATTTTTTGATTCCGCAAAAGTGGACTAACTCAAGTCACCGATAAACGCCGGAACGCCCCCCTGTATCTATCAATTTTCCATCAAAGAAATCGTATCCTATTCCTATATGATTGTATTGTACTCCTCTATTAATTTTTTTATTATTGGAGTCAGCCTCTGTTCATGATTTATTTTAATTTGATCATCTAGTTTATTAATGTTTTAGTTAAATCTCACATGTGTCAAATTATGAGTGGTTAGAGATGCCAACTTAGATTTCTGAGTTGGTACCTCCGTAAAATGAGATTTTCTCATGATAGTATCGCTGGCGTGGTATAATAATAATCCTTTCCATTCTTCTCGTAGTTGTCGTTATGTTAGATAAAGTTACGCTCTTTGTAATAATCAAATCGTACTGTTATACTCGGCATATTCATTCAAATATTTTCAAGCTACAATTGAGTTTACAAATCGAATTTAAAAAATAAATAGATTAACAATGAAACGAATGATAGCATGGAAAGAATATCTTTGTTCAAATCCGTAAATTTCAAAACGAGCTCGTGGTGATGAGCTCATGGTGATACGAATACTGTTGTGTAATCCTTTTAATACAAATTATGTTTATGTTCAAACATTCTGAAGGAATTCATGAACCTAACCCAGCTTACAGCTCCCAAAAAGCATGTGATCTAAATAGCTTCTAGCCCTAGACGGTATGAAAATGGAATTAATCTTCAAACTGTTCAATTGTAAATTGTATTGTACAATGAGACATGTTTTTGCAAGACACTTATGTTATTTTCTATATCAAACTTTTATGTTACTCCCTTGTCACATGTTTGTGAATGTTGGTTATATTTAATACATCCTGTCGATGTTGGTGTGACTAGGTACTTGTAAACACATGTTGAAGTTGGCACTTGTCACATGCTCCATTTTGTGTTAAGTCTACTACATACATACATACATTATTCGTAAATTTCGAGTGACTACCCACACGAGACTTTAGTGAAATTCCTATTTGATGATTAGTCCCATCTTTTTTATAACCCTTGGCCTCAATTGGTAGTGTGTGGCAATTTCCTAACACGTTGTCCTAAAACAGCTCCAACGTCATAATCGCTTTTGCCACACATCAACTCGAATGAAAGACTTCAATCGGGTGGCTGTATAATTGGGTTGTGGTTAGGAGTTCTTTCAACTTCTCAAACCCATGTACAAGTGCCATTCACATGGACATTTCCCCTCTTCGGCTTTCAAAGTTCTCATTTTCATATTTGCTATACCACCAAGATCTTCACCGGACTGCTCCATTGGCTCACGCCCCGAGTTTCGCAGTTCTAGGGTTAAGATGAGCCAATTTATGAATATGTGTTATGAATTGTGTTAATATTTGTTAAGTATATGTTTTTTAAGTTTTATTATTGTGGGTAATGCTTTAAATCTTTTGGATCCGAGAGTTGAAATTTAATGTGCTAGGACTATTACTAGATACTTAAGAAAGATCATGAGAGCAGTTATGAGCGATGCATAGTATGGGAATGCACTAAGGATTTCAAAGCTTGACACATATTTGTCTGTTAATACTAATTGGAGTATTAAGGCTGCATTTATTTCACTATCCTATCCTAAAAACTAAAAAAAATGCATTTGTTTCAATATTTTCAAAATCTAATCTTACTTTATTCAACTCAAAATTAACAATTGTCTTTTTTGTAAAAAAACCCAATTCACCTCAACTTTACTTTTTCTAAAATACTATTCTAAAACCATTAGATATTGAATAAAAGAACCTAAATTCCTTGTGAAACGAGAAAAACAACTTTTGAATGTAAAAAAGGGCATTCAAGATCATATTCGTCTTTTATTTGTGTGGATGATGCCTTTTTAAAGAGAGGTATTTAGGGACGTTATTGTTACGATAGTCAAGACAATGATATCAGATATATTTGTTGGCTTCGACGTTGGGATTGAAATATTCTTTACAATAAGGTAACTTGGGAGCTTGATGAGGGGAAAGCAAAAAGTACTTCTCCTTTTTGTAATTCTCTTGAGGTTTTTGGTTGGCTTGTTTTGTTCTTCTTTCACCAAAGTAGACCCGTGTGCCGCCTTTGTTGTTTCTAGGTATAGGATTGAGCATAAGGTTAAAGATGTTGGACAATAAATCTAAAAGAATACATCATTACAAGCCGTAAAATACGCCGTTTATATACTTGTTGCACTAATAAAGGTCGAAGAACATCATTTTGTTAAGAAATATGGGTTATTTTTGTTTTATTGTTTATTAGGGTAGATTTGTCTTTTCATTATTTCCTTTGTTTAGCCATATATATCTTTGTATTTAGGTTAATCATATTTTTTTTGTATTCAATTGAATTGTGCAGTATCAATGAAACCCTAGCCTCCTCTTTTTATTATTTCTTTGGATTGTTTAACATGGTATCAAGTAGAGTTTCATGGGACGAGGCTTAATCTTAAACTGGTTTACGCGGATCCAACTCCGTGGTGAGTTGGTTGGGGGTCTACAGGGGGCAGGGCCCCTGTCGGGTTCCGCCCTGAAAATTTTGGAAAGGTATCGTTCAGTTTCTGCAATCTGGTATTTCATTGGTATTCGTTCAATTTCGACAATCTGGTATTTCGTTTTCCTTTCTTTTGCATTCTGGTTTTCTTTGTTTTCTGAATATGACTACTTAAAGGGACGATTCGCTTCTTTTGTAAGTGTGAGGTTAGATGACAAGAATTATTCGTTTTGGAGTTATGTGATGAGAAATTTTCTTAAGGGTAAAAGATGTGGGGATATGTTAGTGGAACTTCTGTGAAACCTAAGAATCTGATAAGTTTTGATGCTTTGATAGATTCCTAGGAAGCAAACAATGCAAAAATTATTACTTGGATTAACAATTCTGTTAGGCTTCCATAGGTACAAGAGTTAGCGAAGTATGAGAAGCAAAGGAGATTTGGGATCATCTACAAAGGTTTATTACTTAGTCAAATTTTGCAAAGCAATACAATTGGAGAATGACATACGAGCTCTTCAGCAGAAGAATATGAGTGTTCATGAGTTTATTCTGCTATGACAGATCTTTGGGATCAATTGGCTCTTACAGAATCTGCAGAATTAAAGGCATGTGGTGCCTATATTGCTCATAGGGAGCAACAACGGTTGGTACAGTTTTTAACGGCACTTCACAGTGTTTTGAAGGACTTAGAGTTCAATTTTGCATCGTTCTCTATGCCTTCTGTTGACTTAGTTGTCAGTATTTATTGGCTGAAGAAATACGTCTTAAGTCTTATCTGAAAAGGGAATTCTTTCTGCTTCTACTTCTAATCCTTCTGTGTTAGCAGTACCTTCGAAGCCAATCTTTAATATCAGAAAACCTTACACAAGGTTGCCTTTGACAGTGCAGTTTCTATAAGCAAAAAGGTCATTGGAAGGCTGCATGTCCTAAGTTGAGGCAACAGAATCAATCGAAGTAGCAATCTCAAGCTTGGAAGCCTGGCACCATCACAATCTAATTGCTAGACCACCTCAGGTACAAACCCCACAGTCTAAAATGCAGCAGTAGTTCATCAGGTCCTTTCACCGATCCTAGTACTCTGGCTGAGCAATTTCAGAAGTTTCTCCCCTTATAGCCACAAGCTATGTCTGCTTCTTCTTCCGTAGGTCAGTTACCTCATAGTTCTTCAGGTATGTCACTTCTGTATGGGTTTTAGATTTTGGTGCTTCACATCATATGTCTCCAGATTCTTCATCTTTTGCTTCTGTGTCTCCTTCGTCTTCTATTCCTGTCATGACTGCTGATGGCACTCCTATGCCTTTAGCAGGTGTTGTTCTGTTGTCACACCTCACTTGTCTCTCTCTAATGTTTATCATATTCCAAACTTACATTAAATCTTGCTTCTGTTGGTCTTATGTGATTCTGGTAATTTAGTCACATTTTCCTCTTCTTCTTGTTATGTGAAGGATCTATAGTCTCAGAAGCTGATTGGGACAGGTCGTAGGAAGGGGACTATATATTTTGGATGAGTTAAAAGTGCCATTTGCTGCTGCTACTAGTGCTGATGCTGCCGCTACTAGTGTTGATTTGTCTTCTTTTTGTTTGAGTCCTTATTCTTCTAGTTTTTATTTATGCACCGTTTAGGTCATGTTTCGTCTTCTCATTTGAGATTTTTGGCATCACAGGGGTTTTAGGAAATTTGCAAACTTGTGAAATTTCTTATTGTAGTGGATGTAAACTGGCAAAATTTTCAGCTTTACCTTTTAATCGAAGTATTTTTGTTTCTTCTCTCCATTTGATTTGATTCATTCTGATGTATGGGGACCTTCTCCTGTTGCCACAAAAGAAGGGTCTCGATATTATGTTTCTTTTATTGATGATTATACTCGTTATTGTTGGGTTTATTTAAGAAACATCGTTCTGAATTCTTTGAGATATATACAAGCCTTTCAAGCTCTTGTCAAAACTCAACATTCTGCTTTATCAAATGTTTTAGGTGCGATTTGTGTGGGGAATACACTTCTAATAAATTTGTGAGTTGCTTGCATTAGATGGAACTGTTCACCAAACCTCGTGTACAGATACTCTTAAGCAAAATGGTGTTGTTGAAAGAAAACATAGGCACATTGTTGAAACTGCTTATTCTCTCTTATTGTCTGCCTCTGCTCCTAGTGTGTTTTAGGGTTAAGTTTGTTCTTACTGCTGTAGGTTTGATTAATAACATTCCATCTTCTCATATTTCAGTTTTTTCTCTTTCTCGAAAAGTTATATGGGTATGCCTCTGATTATTCTTCCTTTAAAGTATTTGGTTGCACTTGTTTCGTTCTTCGTCCTCATGTAGAACGCAGCAAGTTATCCTCTCGATCTGCTATTTGTGTCTTTCTTGGTTATGTAAAGGTAAAAGGTGTATCGTTGTTTTGATCCAATAACTCAGAAACTTTATGCGTCTCGTCA